GTGTTTTTACTATATAAAACAGGATTAATTAAACATTACTAATTTCTTTTGAGCCTTAAATATTTACGTCGACTGAAATTCCCCAAATTCTTTCATATACGAAACATATAATGCATTATAAGCAGCTAAAACCGTATCTTGGTTAACAGTTTCTTAAAGAACTTCATACCTTATTGATTTTATATTGTTTTTAACTTATGTTTGAAAATTAATTATGTTTATTTGTACATTATTAGATTTCAACTAGTTGATGGTGGCGCCTAGAGATTTCAATAGGTTATTTTTTAAACATATAATAAGTGTAGTGTCATCAGCTTAGAGTATGCAGTTCTGGTGGGTAACATTTAGGAGGTGTTTTACTTACGTTGGGCCAAAATACTACCTTGAGGTGTACCGTATTAGCTTTTTTTATTACCACATATTGCAATCTGTTTTCAAGTTGCTGTAACTTTTTACCCAGCTATGGGCTTCATCTTATTCCGTTTCATTCTATTTTTTAAGTCTTTCATGATAGACATAGTCAAAGGCAATTAGCATTTTACATTAAAGCAATTTGTAATTTTTTTAACGAGTGAAAAGTGCAAGGGTGGTAGAACTATTTCACCTTTGTAGGATGGAATTTATAAAACTTTTCCTGGTGGTAGTTTTCACTATTAAATGACACTAACATTTCAAGATACTCAGTTGAGTATCCCAAAGTTGTGGGGGCTGCAATAGTTGTAGAGTAATAGTTGATATTTTTAAGCCTAATGTAGACATACTTATTTATGTGTTACAAGTTAAGCTGTAAAGAATTCCGTATCATACGTTTTTACTATTAGAAAAATGTAAGTTTGCTTGGCATTTATTACGCCCTTAAGGAGATTAACGGCCGTAGCCTTCAAATGTTGCGGTGACGTCAATTATTGTTTTCAGCAAATGAGCACGAGCCTGACCTTGTCTGAGCAATAAGGTGGATGGGGAGCTAAAAATACTATATGTCAGGGGTCAAGCTTACATCAATCAATTGAATGGAAACCGACCACGATATTTAAATATATAAATACCAGAAATGGTTACGTGATTTACGAAATTTTATTATTTCCACATATTCAAATACCCTGACATTGTTATACACGTAGTATAGAGTATTCTTAAAGAGAATATTATCTTTCGTTAGATTTAAAGATAGAGAGAAGAGGATGGCTATAGGATAATGTACGTGTTCTATCTCGTATCGCAGAATGCGCCTCTCATCTTTTACAATTTATTCGGAACATATTACTTGACCTTGAAAAGGTTTTCTTCGAATATTGCTTTCAATGTCGGTGGCACCGCCTTTTGTTGTCTGGTTCTGAAAGAAAACTCTTCTAAAGCCTTTAAAATTCAGTGAATACCTGAGCCATTAATATAATTCTAGATTTGAAATAACATTATACATAAAGTGTAAAATCTGATGGCAAATGAAAGTCTTCCTGGAGCTTTTCTTATGGCAACATAATAACATTTTAATAATCTTGCCTCTATATCATGTTCATAATATTATTATTTGTCACCCAAGCTTCCTCTAGTTCCGTAACTCACCGGTAGAATATTCCCTGACAACACGCGATTTGTGCAACGATACGCGTTATTTCTTTAATTGTCATTTTACAGTCTAGTGGTTCTTCATTTACGACGGAAGAATGTATTTTATATGAAGCGAACACTTTATCTGAATTTGTCGTTATCAAATTTAAATGATATTTGATGAATACGATCTCATTAGGAATAGATTTAACTCCTATTGCATATTAATTTCGTTAATATATAATTGTATATTTCGAGTATAGTATTTGATTAAGAGATAAGTACTACGCATAAAAACTTTCACTAAAGTGAGAGCAAAATTAAATATAATATTGTTACGAAGTTGTCATTTTATGACGCTTAGATAACACTAGGATATTGTTCTAACATTTTAATGGTCCATTAGTGAAATATAAATTGTCTAGATATACTTAAGATAACATACTCATTTATGGAAAATAACATATAAAATATGAGATAAAAAAATGTTATTATCTTATTAGTTTCACGTGAGTGCAGTCGTGGTCAGGCAAACCACTTAGAACGCCAAGAAATTCCGTTTTATTTGAACGTGTACCTAATCGCTTCAACCACAGACAAAATAAATAAAATTAAAAGCAAACCATTATGCCAGTAAAACCTTTTTTGATTCAAGCCTCTGTTTTCCTTCCTACATAGTAATAATAATATCTAATAATTATTTTTTTGATTAAAAAAAATATAACGTTTATGTAAAATAGAAGAATCATGATGAAGACATATAGTGTGCCACTTCAGTGACACAAGAATTCATGAAACGCGTGCTTACGATTCTTTAAGAGGGACTGGCGAGTGATATTAATTAATTCATCTTAATGCAACTTAAAAGGTGTTGCGTCTCTGTTGTTCTGAAGAGCATTTCTTAACCATAATTAAGCAAATACCAATAAACAAAACAAATCTTATTTAAAATAATACAACTACATTGTATTGGATATATAATAATTGTAAAACATATATTTTACTACTCGGAAGCATGTCACTGTTCAAGTCGGTTATCTGTAAGTGGGTTGTTAAACGTCGCTCATTATGATTTCCTCTGGAAGTTCTCTGATAAGGAATATTTGTAATTGAAATTGACGAATTTTACCGCATTATCTGGAGGATCGCGATCGCCGTCGATTGTCCTTTGTTCCGGCATTCAACCAAGTGCCTATACGCTCCTCAGCAAAGGATTGAGGTCATGAGGACTTTATTGTCTGCTTTAGCTACTTTTATTGAAGATAAAACCATACAGTGCTAGGTTTAAAACTTACACAGATCTCTAAACAAGATCTTTGTATATAAAAGACAAGTGTTAACAAACTTTTTATATACCTTCAATCTAGTTACTTATATGTGAATTATCCGTATTTACTAAGAACTAATTGTTACCTTAAATTTGTACTTATAGTCCTTTTCATGAAAGAAGTCCCCCAGGCGCAGCGCTGTAATCGCGAGACGTAATGTTGCCAGTTATGAGTAAAAAATTTACCTATTTTATATTTCGCATATTTAATTTATCAAATAATACTATTTTCTGCATACTTCGATGAAACAATATTTCAGTTATGTAAAAAGTATATTTTTATTTACTTATATAAGCGGTGTTCTACCTACTTACAGGGATAATATGAGAAAATAGAGTAATGAAAAGCATTACAGTTTTTTATTCAGAGTTTTATTGAATAATAGTGATCAGCGGCCATAGGAACATCACTTTGTGAAGAGTATGTAAACAGAATCAGATTCTGTTTCAGTATCACTAGCTGTAGATATAATTGTTCTTTTTTATATTGATACTATTTCGGATGCGGGCGACTCTTCCCCGGGGTGACAATTTTTTTCGTGGTACTCGCCGCTTTTATACCTTCATATGTAATTATTGTTTCAGTTCTCTCTTACACACCTGCAATTAAATAATGAACAATTAAAAATAATAGCAACTTTAAGTTTATAATGCTTATGTACTATGTAATATATGTTTTAATTTCAGTTACCTAGTTTCATTCGTTATGTATTTGTTCAATTTTGCCGCAAAAATGAAGTTATATCATAAAAGTTCCTGTTATGGCGGCGACTCTCTTCCAAACATTGTTTAGTGGTATTAAAACACCTTGAATCTTTTGTTCCGCTTCACAGAACTCTTTCACCTTCATTTCTCGAGCCGAACATTTACAACTTTTGGCATTGTAAACAATCTTTAAAATGCACTAAGCTAGTTAAAAACTCACAAAAATCTACCACAACAAACGAACTTGATAACATCGACGAACGACAACATGGCCGACCTGTCAAATTTAGTTCCAAAAATCTCCGCGGGACTTCTTTCATGAAAAGGACTCTACTATAAATTTCACGAACCATGGCTTTAAAAACTTCATAACTCAAAGTGGCAGGAACGAGGCCACGATAACTAGCGCGAACGAATCGAAAATATTGCGGTTGCAACCGTGCAGGTACCGCTCTCGTCAGGACGTTTCCCTAATCCCCTGTTATTGCATTCGGTGTACCTGGAATGCATTAAACGTTGGGAAAATGTTGCAGTCGGCTTAATTAACACGATTTATGTTTGACCGCGAGGTAACCACCGGACTTAAGTCTTCGTTTAATAAATATTAAATTAGTGAAGATAAAACTTTAATATTTGTACGATGGTCAGCAGTGTCATTAACTTCTACCGCTCACGGTGCGGTCGCATATTTTATTAAGACGTCACGGTTTGTTCTGATGATATCATGCTGATTCATAAAATTGTTTATATTGGCTAACACTTACAAAGATTTTTAATTTCGCAACCATAAATCTAGATTGCAGTTTTACAACATATAACATATAAGCCGTGTTGTAATTGCATTTTAATTAATAGCAGTGTGTGTGGAAATTGGATATAGAATTTGGTAATTGTCAATCGTTTTAGCTGCGTTTTGTAATTGTAAAGCTGAGAATTCTTTGTAATATCCTTAATGAGTAAATGCAATAACGAACTAGAACGTTCTCATCGTAAAGTTTTTGCCTTCGTTTTAATACGTCATGGTCATAGTCCATCTTTTTATAAACACTTGGCTATTTTGAATTTATTCGTAATTATTAGTGTTAATTAAGCTGGTTGTAAGTTTAACAGCATTTAGAACATTTCATCTATTTGGTCTATACCAGACCCAATAAACAAACAAAACATACTTCTATGTTATCTATTCTTATTTCTAAAGAAATCCCAATTCAACATTATCAGAACTATTAATGCCTGTCCAGTGTCTTTACAATCTCCCATAATCTTTACGCTCAATCCCTTTGATTAATTACAGTTATAGATATTTCGTCTTGTTCCTTAATTTTTGTTTTTATTTCTAGTCGAGGGCAACAACTCTGAGTTTGGCAGTGGACGTTCGAGTCCCGCAATCCAGTCATCCGAGCTGGGAGCAGACACCGAGATGGTCCAGGAGGGTGGGGCAGGGGCCGTGGACGAAGGGCTCATCGCCCCGCGTCGGCTTAACAACCCCTGCCTGGACAATTCTGCGAGGATGGACTTACATAGAGAACTGCTCTTCAATCAGAGGATGTAAGTCACACTTAATTTAAAAAAATACTTAATACAATGCTTCAATACAATTTCTTTATACTGCTTTATTCCTCGTTCTTAGGTTATGACATATATGCCTTATTACTTTGAAGATTAAGCCTTCTGATACCGAATTCCGTGATTAGAATCCTTTAGCGAGGTCTGTCCATCTCAAACGATAATCTTGCGGCGTTTCCTTTGATCTAATCTTTACGGGCCACTGTCATCTAACATGGAAAACTTGAAGTTAAAGCCAAATAATATTTTTGGCTCTGACAATCGTTCCTACTACTATCATTTCGTACAAGCTTTAGTTACTACATTAATACATTTTCTATTGCGGTATTTTAAGGTTTGAGCATCACGTTCATATTTCCTTGAATACATTAGACACGCTGATATTGTCTGATTGAGTTGCGCATAATCACGATATTGATACAAGCCAACCGAGTCTTTTTGCCGCGGCTCGTCTGCATCTAGTAATGAAATAGAAAACGAACCTTTTACTTTATACTAGCATATAAATAAAACACGTAAGATAATTATATCAGAATTTCAAAATATCTTGTGTGTTTTTATTGACTTCGTGTTATTCAATAAAATATAGTTTAATTTTAAGGGCTTATGGGTCGCTCTCTTCGGGAAGTGTTTTTATGTAGCCTTGCCATTTGATGTAATGTAGCACTGAAGCAGAAAAAAAGATATCTCGAGCTTGCCAAGTCGCGTTGGACCACAAATAGTGGAAAAGCGCTTTTGTATGCAGAAAAATAAAGGTCAAGGTTTCGATGAGAATTACTAGAACATTGCTATTTGCTATGCGGAATAGTTGAAAGTTCGTTTAGAAATATTATGGGCCTAATCAATTAATAATTTGTCCGTTAATTTATCCATATTCCACAATTAGTCATATGTAAGGATATACATACATAAATAAGGTATAGGTGTGTACCTAAGCATTTGTGAATAGGCGCTGTTAAAATGCGCTTATCGTAGCTCGCTATCAAATTTTACGTAATGTTTATGATAATATTTACACGAGTCTGTACCGATGTATGCATATCTAGGCTCGTAATTAAAGTTTACTGAGCTTTGTGTGTATTGCCTATACAAATTGACTAATTGGTGAAAACGGTACATTTTAATTGCGTTATATAAGTCAAGATAGTATTATCTGATATATAATGAGCCTAAAGTTAAAGTGTATCAGCGGTCAAGGCTATGAACATTGATTGTGAATTTGCCTAAATTAATCATAATTATTCATCCATCGCATTAACAAAAGAAATATCGGCTGAGAAACTTGGGGATTTTTGTAATTTAAAATACCTATCTATACATACTTAAAAGATAAGATTATAATATCTATGTTAATTAACTACGAAATAAAGAATCTATATATAGAACGGATTTACTTAAAATTAAAATTAAACGTGATTTACTTAAAAATATTTTGTACATACAAAAACATTTTCAATTTAACTGCTTCTCACTTAACAAAGTACAAGTCCTGACAAGATTTTTGGGAATGGTGTTGTGGGATATTCCTATTTTAGCTTATTAAGTAGAAAAATATGTGGCCAATCCGGTAAATCATGAACTCGTGTCTAAGAAAGAGGCCGGCATTGTAGTGTTTGAAAAACCTTTATCTGTATTCAATGGAATTGCAATTCTTGGAAGTTGGTTTTTGTTGTGCCCGGATTCCTCTCTACAGGTGCACGACATCCTGTGCTGAACCCGATGTCATTATTGAACATCTGTCGCTCACAGTTTCTCAGACGATGATCGTGGACCATTCGCCGTACGCTTTGTGCTATTCGTGTGTTACGTATGATCTATTGTCGTACAAAGATGTTGTTTTATTATTCCTTTTATTTGTGTTTTTTGCTTTTGCCGATCATATACACATATGTATATAGCCTACACATGTGAAATGAATGTTTTCGGATACGTCTAAGTGACACGTCTGCTTTGCCATGTTTTCGTAAGTTACTTCAAAGGTTATCCACTTTGTCACCACGTTGACCTGTTGATTCAATCCATTTCCACATCGTTCGAGCCGACGCTCGCCTGATTTCCGTACGCCTGGCTGCGGAAGGAAACAATTCCGTTTTGCCACTGTGATTCAATGTGTCTGCTGAACGTCATGAAAGCAAATTATTTTTGAAACACGATAACAGCCAAAGATAATATATTATTATATGGAGGAGAAGTACGTAGTTACAAGTATAATGATTAATTGGATCCTTTCTTTGTAATAATCCCCTGCCAATTAACCAATTATGAATAAATTCACACGAAGGGCCTAAGTTGGGCTATTAAACGTTCATTAAAACGATCATTTATTTGAAAACATGGTTTAAGAATCAAACATCTTTAATCGAGCAATTGAAATAAGTTAGTTCGCCAACTTTCGTAACGTCTCCCATTGCAGAATATTTCGGTTGCAAATCGATTTACCGCAATCTTACCTATCAGATTGTTGCATTTCGACGTCTTAATATACCGTACAAATTTAGTCCATTTTCAGATCAGAAACGGTTACTAGGAATCAGTTATTTCGATCTAGAAATTAGTTTGAGCTGACGAGGAAGTAATGAAGAGTATCGTCGGAGTCTGTTGTAATTAACAGAGTTTAATTTAGTCGAGGAAGTTAATGGTGCAGCAACTTCATTTCAGTACGTTCCAAGCTATTTTCTAAGTGATTTCAGCCAACATTTCTGAATCACAAGCGAAACTTGTCGATTAGTCCAATTACTGAGAACGTATTTGTAATGTCTTCTTTTCACGATCGGCCTCTTTTGAAAAAAACTATGACCTTAGATGTAACATGTTTATAGCTGCTACACATTTTGGTTTGAGGAAGAATCCACGTAAATCGTAATCATTATGCCACTGACAAAATATACGTTTGTTGAATTCCCTTCCTCCTCGTTGCTAAAATCAATATGCTGCGATTCGCGAATCGAGCTGTCCATTTTTAGGTGTACGAATTGCAAATCGGCTATATTTACATTACATTACACACCTTGAATCAAATTTAAAAATAATTTCAATTTATCCGCTCAAGTATTTGAATCTCCCGGAGAGTAGGAACTCGGAATTATTCGAAATTTCAAATAACACCGCTCCAGTATAGTAATTTGGTTGAGCACTACACATAAAAAATACTTAATGGACCTACAAGTATATACTCGTATAACGAATGTCTCTCGTTTGCCACGATCGAAAAGCATCCGAAACGTCGAGTTATGTATATAATTTAATAAATACGAACCTTGGCCTAACTAAATTTAAACTTCTTTACATTTTATCAAGTGAAATGAACCCATTTATACCTACATAATACCAAATTTGTACAGTAGCATGTTTACAAAATGGTCGCCAGTGTTATGTACAAATAATTAGCTCTTTTCCTGATTACAATAGACGTAGGAAACAGAAATACGGTTCGATTGCACTGCACATGCTTACAATTCAATAACTTGGATGACGTCAATGCACCGAAATAGTTCACATGTGCAGGTGCCGACTATGGGAATGCTTTTGTACATAATATAACTGTAGTTGAAGAACATTAAGTACTATTATTCAACCTCAATGGGGAATTACCCAAAAGTATTCCATGTGGCCATTATATTTATCATTTTTATATTATTACTAAGTAATTAGCGCTTATCATGCATATATGTACATTTTCATAGGATTCTGTAAATACCTTCACGTTGCGTTTACCCGATATAACTTATTATGTTATATAATTTCAATTTCCTCATTGTGTAGTGAATTCTTAGAGTGTTTATCAGTGAAATAAACATTACCTTATATGGTAGCGAAAATTGTGCGATAAGATACGTACTAAAAATTTTATCAGTCACATATTTCGTAAACATTTTACAGGCTGACAGATTGTAGGCGTAATTCAATTTTAGTCAGGTTAACGCTCATCTTGGAAGCGACGAATAAGGACCCTCTACCAGCTTAATTTAACTATTTAAGATTAGTACGTTAAATAGTCTTTGAGACATGCAATGTAAAGTATAAAAAATAACTCTTTTTTTTCTATTACTTCAATTTGATTTCCCCTTTACTTTAAACTAACAATAAAGTACCCAGCAATATATGCTCTATATCATAACATATGTAATTTTAAGAGAAATATGTTTTCGGTTGTAACTCGAGCCTCATCAACTACATATCTACTTAATCTCTAATACGCAATTCATTACAAGAGACATATGTTCAAATAAAATGATATTTAAAACATAATTAACCAAATTATAACCGAAAACTTGGTTTCTCGTAAATTGTTAAAATTATTAATAATTTTACTGGAATCTGGGAATCTAAAATATAAGTTATAAAAATGTTAGTTGTGAGAAAGAGATGCCCGAAGTCTGTGTGTGTGTGTGTTTGTCTTTATGTGTGATCCGGATATTGTTTCTGCGATAAATAGTTGGGAGATCTAGGATAGTAGTTTTCCTACAGGATTTTTTAACTATTAATCTATTGAGGAGTTTTAGACGCACTGAAAGACAAAATTTTGTTCTTTAGTATTAATAAGATACCAGATATTAATCATATTATAAGGTTAAAAATGTTAATTATCTATCATATTTCATAGTTTTATCACTGCTGTCAGCGTCCATTTGTAGAACAATGCAGGTATTAGATGGTTTAGGCCTTTTTAGGTCAAAACCTTGTCCTATTTCTGCAGTTAAGCTTCGTAAAGATTAGAGTTTCTTCATTAGTTTGTTATCTACGAATATTATACTAATTTTACTATTCGAATATATAAGGAAGATATTATAATCTATAAATTAATAACTCCGAATACACAAAATAAGTTAATATTCATCACTTCTGTCATAACATTGAAATTAGAGGCTAAAATTAATATAGCACTTATCCTTTCAGAGGTAAAAATGTTCTGAACCAGAAGAGCGAACTACAAAAGGCCCTCACAAAACACAAAGAGAAGCAGCTCATGAATCAAGTAAAGGAGCACCGGGAAACGCCAGGTAACTTTTATTTTAAATGCAGCTTAGCGTAGCTATTTAGCAACGCGTTACTATAAAAGCTTCAACTATGCATATACATTGTATTCACAAATACACTTGTAAACATTCGCATTTCTCTACTTGCTTACATATAATTTAATCGTGAAACAAATGCAAAGCGTACCGTTTTTCGTTTTATTTAAAATGGTTGATAGATTGATGAAAGGTACTATACAATAGACATCAAGATACTAATCTAGATAATGTTATTTCGCTCTAGGCGTATCACATAGTATCACTTAATAGTTAATGTAGGTTTACTCACTTTCGCTAAACATATTATGTTAATCAAATGCGTTTATGTCAAATCAAACTTCTTAATAACTGCAATGGATATAAAAAAGCTTTCTTGATGAAACATTTTAATTTTTAAGTTTTGACAAAAATGACATCAGCCAAAGACAATAAGACATTGTATGGTTTTACCTTTTCAAATAAAAATATGACTAAGCATAAAACTGCAATCAATAGAAAGTAGGTTACAAATATATTCATATACGTTTTTAATCAGTTGCAATTCATGCAAATATGGTGTTGCATTACCGAAGGCTAAATCAAATATAGTGAGAAACGTTGAGTGCAACGAGATGTTATCTAAATTGTTATATTAAATTAGCCTAACCTAAAATAGATTAGGTTACCTAATTGACACACAATGAGAACAGCTGAAACGATAAAAAATAGTTATAAAATCGTGGTTATTCACTGTCCAACTATGAACGGGCTGCGGCGGATTTTTTAATTCCCAAAACGTAACTTTAGCCTCAAGCATCACTAAACTTTTACTTTTTATTGTTAACGACCAGTTTCTCCAGACACGTAAGTAAGTCAAGTTTCGGTTGTTTTTCGTTGCATTCTGACGGATATCAACAGGCCTCGAGGGCAGGTGCATCGGTCATTCAACCTCAATCACTATTAGCTCTTCCTATATTCTATCGAACACGATTCTACACTTGTAGATGATGATGTTCTGTCAATAAGGACTCAAACAAAGACCGAGAATTAGAACTTAATTAAACTTAAATTACCAAACATTTTGAGACGATTATTATAGTCAGAGCTTATCAATACACTATCATCTGTGTACACTTAACAATAGCATAAGGTATGAAGTACGTTTTATCGTGAAGGTCATCACCTCGTTCTTGAAATGTTATCGCTCGATAGTGTAAAAAATTTGCCAATTGTAATTCCAAGCCAAGACATTCTACACGAGGTTTGCTTGAAACTAAAAAAATATATAAAATTTTCAGAGTTAGAAAGGGCCATAGCTGAACGCGCTCGCAGGTTAGAGCAAGCCGAGCAGAGCCACGAAGAGATCGACCCCGCGACCAACCCGACCTTGCAAGAGGTGCGCGCGCGTCTCAGACACGCGGCACCGCCATCTCCCGCCGCGTCTGCGCACTGAGTACCTTTCTAACCTCAATTCAATCCACGCTTTATTTCATCCACCTATCGATGAGAATTTAAACTCGACAAATTCAATTACTTGATACAATTAAGAGATCACCGTTCATCTCAATATTTAAACGGACAATTCTTATCATATTTAGAAATCAATCGTAGTAAACTATGAAAATGTATAAATAAAAATGATTAGATTGAAACGGGCCTAACGCAATGTATTCATATATGAAACTATGATTTCTGATTCCGGCGCCATCTACATGATATCGTACATAATTGTGGTAGAAATGAGGAGGCAGTTCAATCTGAATTAGCTCTTAAAATACTTTATTTTTAATTAAAGAGATTATGTTTCATTTAATGTTATGGGGGAAGGTAAGGGGGAAATAGCTTTAGGTTGGGATTTGGAATTAGAGGCGCGGGACTTTGAGTTCACGCAGTGTCTCGTAGATGGCGCTATTGTTTATAGTTTGCGATGCGAAAGAGCTTTCTCGGCGAAGCGTGTAATATTCGGTTATTATTGTAGATAGGAAAACTTAATTTAGTATTTTGTCCTCGAACGGAGTCACTGAAAGTGTCACAAAATCATTTTTGTATTAGGTTGATTCGGTAGTCGTCTAGCGTTGACTTCCTTAGTTTATTGTCTTAAGGTATATTTAAGTGTAATTTATATTAATTTGTTACCAAAAATGTCCCGCCCGGGATGTGCGGATCGACTGAGGAATCGACTTGAGCCGTAACGATGAGGGTAAACGTCGACTTCTAGAGAGACAAATATTTTTCTAACCCTTTTTAATCACTTTTCTTACGAATCCCGTTGCACGATATTCTCGTTCGGAGCCTTAGGGCCGATTCGACCAAACAAGAGTAAATCTTAATCTTAGAATAAATCGTCAGTTAATCGAGAGTAAATCAATTTTACGTTTTACCAACTACAAATTCTAAGAATAGTGGGCTTATTTGGGAATTGCTACTATACCGCCGTTTCGCACGGAATAACAGCTATTCCTAGAATAATTTAATGGCGTCAGTCAGTCCAATCAGCTGATTTCTGTCATTTCACAAATATGTATTCTGTGCTTTAATTTCAAGTCAACGCAACGCACTAAATTAATAGTCTGGCAATGTATAATGAAACGTTTAAACAATTTATTATTTATTTTTAGATTTTTTATTTTCTATAATATTAGAATGAAATTCAACTAGGCTCAACAGAAGTTCCTTTTTAGACGAAAGCCTCAAACAAACAAGAAATAAAAACTTTTTGTTGTCGTTTGACACCTGTTAAAAGCTACTTTTTCACTCTATAATACGGCAAAATCGAGTTGACATGATGTATGCTCTTACACTGTCCCGTTGTAGAACAACATTTATTTGCCGAGTTTTATTTTCGTTCACCATTCTCTTTGCTATTCGCGTATTGTTATTCCTAGCGCAATTATACTATCGATTACGTGGACAAACGACTATGGATTTACTCGAGATTAAAATCATGGAATAGATTATTCTTGGTATAGTTACTCGTGTATAAATTGAAGTTTGGTCGAATCGACCCTTAGAAGTCTACCGCTGCGAAGAGCCGTCTACGGCGTTGAGCTATTTTAGTACACATTGGATATTTGTAGTTAGTAGATAACGTTAACTACTTAGAACCCTATTTACATAGTAGTTGGAGAGTAGTCTTATGAGCGCTGTCTTCAATCTTAAAAATCGTATATTTTCCCAAGCCATAAAGTATTTTATATAATATTGAAGGTTCAGAGTAGTCCCCGAATGTAGTCGACCAATATGTTCGATATCGACGTGTTCATCAAAGTGATAGAAAAAGATATTTTTGTATTTTTATGTAACCTAGAGGTTTTTACTCCCGACTTCCTATTAACCGTAGTCGTTCCGATTCGTAGGTCTTTGGGTAATCTTGTAATTGTAATCGTCAATCCGACTAATGATAAATAATATGTAGAGAATCTCCAGTATATCTGTTTGGATTCGGGAAACAAATGCTGTTGCAGCACGAGAAGCATTTCTTTCTCCGACGTGCCTATTAGTGATTATTGTTGATTATTTTCAGAGAATGAATTTTATTGATGGTTGTAAATTTATGAATTATATTGAAATGCTCTTCTTCCGTGTTTGCCATTTTCACCGTTTTCTCATAATCTTTCTTGCGTAGCTTTCGATTTTTATCTATATATCTACGAGCAGTTTCTGCAAGTTCTCGTTTTTGAAAGCGAAAATGACGAAAGTATCCGAACATCTTAATTTGAAAAGCGAACATCATTCCACTCGTTACTCCTTCCACTTCAGTTTTCTTCCGGTATTTTGTGTTTTATGTTAATTGTTTGTTAATTACCTTAGACCTCATTTTCACCATCAGAAATATCTCGGTCGGTAAGGGAGTAAGGGCGAAACACATTTCGAGAAAGTGATCGATTCGGGTTTTCTGGTTCATCCGAGATGGTGAAAATGAGAGTTAAACGATGATTTAGTACAAAGTGGCAACTCCATGTGAAAAGTTTGAGTTAAGCTTCAGCTTGCGAAGCTGTGTCTCGTGGCCATTTTACGTTTGTTATGTGACTATTTAGACTTAAGACCTTTTTGTAATAAAGTTGACTTGAATTGTATGAAACATTTCGTAATAATTTACATAGAAAAATAAAAGTGTTTTAGCAAAAATGTTTTTTTATTTAAATACCGATCTAAATACCTAATATGTATATAATCAAAAGAAAATTGCATATGCAGCGTAACGGGCAATTTGCTAGAGGGAAATGCGATTGCCAATTACCTATCGAGTTAAAAGAGTAAGAGCTAGGAAGTCACGAATACGTCATTGGTAATTTGTATGAGACGCGACAATTCAAAGGTGTGAATTATTGCCCGGCGAATGATCGATTATCAAATAACGATAATAATCCGAGAAAATTTAACAGATTTGCGAAGCGTGAACGCTTTCGTTTTCGTAGGACAATCGAGTCACGTTACAGATAGTCACGGGCAATACCCCTGTAGGTGCGCGAGCAGATTTCCCCTGGCGTCAGTCGCTCCTCGGACATTACCCACTAACCACGCTCTCGAACGATGTGGATTGCGCGTATCTCGTAAACGATCGACATGAATAAACTGATTCGGATTACACTTCTGACGATTGCGGTCTTCCACCATGCCGATTGTAAAAGGACTAAAAGTAAAAAGTTAACAAGTGACACGGAGGAATCTACGCCCCAACCTAGTGTTCTCACTTACTCCAATTTTGGATTCAACGATGTTGGACCTTACGACGGCTTTGTACCGACGTCTCCTGACTACGCAACCCTTCTTTCTAACAATAAAGAGTCGTCCACGAGACTATATGCGCCTGCGTTCCCGACTAATCTGGATTCCTCAGGATTTAGTGAGAGTTATGGTTCTTCTCCAGGTCAGTCCTTGCCATCGGATGAACAATTACAAACAAGTATGTCAAAGTATCAAACGAGTAATCTAAATTACTTTACTTCCCCTAGTTTTGATAACCTCAACGATCCTAATAAATTTATTTCGGATTCATCAATCTATGAGCAGTCCGACAGTGATAGTAATTCGCCAATATACGGGGCTAAGCTAAACTATCCGAAGCAAAAGAGTAAAATTCGTGAATACAATCCTGAGTACAACGTATCAAGGGACGAGATTTCTAATATAAATGCCGATGCTTATACAAGAAATGAGGATACCTACATTCAATCGGATAAGAAACAAGTTCATGGCGATATAAATCTCAATAAGTATCCGCCGCCTTACCAATCGTCGTTTCCAAAATATACTACCACAACCGTAGTACCACCAGAATATGAAAACACAAATATTAAAACACCCGAGTCTGCTAGTGCGATTAAATTTCCTAGAGTTATCGATTTCACAAACATGAATGCCTATTTTAGTAAAGATGTGAATAATAATGACAATATAAATACTCGATATCAAAATACACCCCTCGACATAAATCAATATAGCACTAATACCGATGATAAAGTGTTCTCGAATGCAAATAATAATTTTAATAATGATTTTGATAAAAATGCCAAACCCCCTCCACACCTAAAATATAACGCATTTAACCTTAATAGCGAAGCACAGAAGAACGAGAAGGACATAGCGAAACTTAATTATTTAGCGAATCAAGAATTTTCTCAAAATTATTTTAATAATAAAAATAAGCTCAAAGGAAAGTACAGTTTTAATAACGATAAATTAAGGAAACCTTGGGATTACAGCAATAAATACGAAATTGGTAAAAAGTCACCTATACGGTATGAATACACTACAAATCATACAGCTTCAAGTTCAAAGTATGGAAATCCTTTCAAACATCCTTTTAACAATAGCATCGATGAAATATCTCCTGCTAGCAGTAATCTCGATTTTTATAATTATCAACATCCTGATACGGAATTCGGCAACATTAAAACTAACCCCTTTTTTAAGTCGCCCTTTGAAGACAGTGACAAAAATGATTTCAGTATTCATTTTGCAGATAAATTTAAACCATTAAATGAATATCAAAGTAGTTTGAAAAACTTGTACACCACTCCCCCCACAGTTACATCACATTGGGGAAATTTATTTAAACCGACTGAGTTTTCTTCACATAAAACTAATTTTCGAAAACCAGTATTCCAAGAAGAACACGATGATATCGTGCACATTCCTAAAAGACCTTCGAGAGGTAAATATGGAACGCATTTAGAAAGCAATGCTTTCGGGGACTGGGCCCACAGGTTCAAACCACACGACTACAAAAATCAGTATGAATGGCCTAAAGAAAGCAACAGGTACACATCAGAAGAAGACCTGTTAGACCTACGAAACCATGATTTGACACATTCCTCTCACCCACCCTTCAGACCAGGATACAACGATTCCCCCGAAGATTTTGACTATAAAAAACTAGTCGACAAATGGAAACAAAGTTACTTGAAATCTAAATACAAAGATTCCGTCCGTGAATATGAGACCTACGCTTCAGAAACGAAACCCATCCACGTTCCAGTGCCAAAGCCGTACCCTGTAAGTATGCTTCACTGTTGGTCTTAGACCACACATGTAATTAATGAAGAAAAACTGTGGAATGCGGATGCCTGCAGACGCGTCGCGCACTATTTTCTTCGCTTGCTCTTGTAAAAATCAGAACGCATGAAGCATGTTTGAAGGTGAAAATACGTTTCGAATGATATATCGGACAATGTTTTAGAAAGCTATAATAAGTATCAATAAAATCTATCTAAATGTTATCAAACTAGGTAAGTAAGGACCCAGTTGTTAATAACAAGATCACCGAGCTACGGCTCTTTACGCTACATTGGTCACTTGGAGTTCAATATCTAGTGAAAGCGATATCTAATACTAGACCACATTAAATAACATTCTTTAAACATGAAAATCTAATAATATAATTCGATTTCAATTTTAACCATAGCTTGGTTTTGCTTTGTTTCTATAACTGTCTATTTTGATATAGATCTATTGAAGATTTTAAATTTGTTTATTTTATAATTACCTAAGTAATTTCATAAGTTCTGAACACAATGTCGCATGATAACGTAATAAGACATGATTATAATACAATTCCTCATCACGTCAACTTTACTTCGTATCTATTCATAAAACTATACACAGTTGCAACTTACCTATCTAATTGGTTTGCATGATGTGCACTCATTAATTTATAATTTCCTTGCAATTTGAATACTTTCTTTCCTTATGCATCGGGAATGGGTCTTCCCTCGCACATTTAGAACAATTAATGATTTGCAGATAGAAGTACCTCATCCAGTGATAGTGCCAGTTCCCCAACCTTATCCGGTTCACGTCCCGGTACCGAAACCTGTAGCGATACCGGTTATCCGGGAGATAACCGTGCCGATTGAGAAGCCGGTGCCTTACCCGGTCTACAAAAAGGTTCCATATCCGGTAGAAAAGCCGGTACCTGTACCTGTTGAAAAACAGGTAGGCAGTAAGACGACGACCAACCACATTTCATTTTTTTATGATAATTTTATAATTCACTGCATTGTGTATTGTGTTCTGTAAATATAATTATATATTTCTATCGTACTCAATAAATCATGAACAATGGGACTTGTACGATATCTGTATAAAATGTATTATAATATTATGTGCATGTCAAGTTTTGTATTTACTTACATTGTAAATTTTGCTAGGTGTTTTTGTATTTACCAGGAACGAATAAGTTAAAAGTACAAGTAGATTTATTAGTAAGTATTTTACGGTAAGTACCTAATCAAAAATATTTTTTAAATCAAATATAAATTACCTAAATTATATTATAAGTTTCGACTATACATTTTTTAACTTGCTTTTCTCGCAAATACTAAATATTAACCTAAATGGAATGTTATAATACATAATAATAATAGCCTTTTAATTCAGATATTTTGACACTTAGACATTTATCTATCTCATTCTTTGTAGAAATCTGTGTGCCCTTTTTTTGGCAACTGTGCCATGTACCACCCGCTGTTTCTTTAATTTGGTCTATGCACCTTCTAAATTGTCTTCCTCTTTTTCGTTTATTGTACCGAATGGAATGTAATATATGTTAAATAACAGGTTCATGTACCAATAATGAAACCGTACCCCGTCGCCGTGCCACAAGTCAGGCCTCTGTTTCATCACACGCGGCCTCATGATGAACGAGACCCTGACTTAGAAGACGATGAAGAGTATCAGACTCGGCCAGAGAGCAGCAAAAGAATACCGAACTTGAAGCGCCCAAAAAAGTACGAGATGTTTAATAACTTCCTTTGATGTTTTATGATACTCTTTTAGTTGGTCAGACAATAAAATATTTGGAATATTTTATTGCAGTAAAAGACCGCCACCACGAAGGCCATCACGTATGACGTACCATGATCGGGATAGAAGGCGAGGACCACAACGCCGACCGCCTTCCAGGGACCAGAGATACAGACACACGCATAGTGAACGTCGTCCGTACAGACATCAGGATGAATACGAAGAATATGAACCAGAGTATATGTATTGCAAACGAACTGGGAATTGTTAAGAGAATTTATTTGTTAAGGATAAATAAATTGGGGTACATGAAAAACCTTTTCTCTGAAAGTCAATAGGTAAGGTGGGCTCTGCCCTACCCGCAAACCAATATTATCTTCTATAACTAAAACACAGTGGAAACTGGTAGCACTTACCCCAGAATAAAATTAAAGTATTCTATCCGATTGCATTCTCCTTAGATGACCTTTATTTACTTTTACACGATAAGCCTAAACCGTTGTGATTTTAAGTAAGAACTTCGTTGTATCGGTATGCCGTATGTGCCAAAGTTTCTTTAAGTCTGTTTCGATTTACAATCAAATATTTAATTTAATGTTACGTTGTATACGTTGTTTTAGAGTTAAGTTGCGTGTATAAAGTAATCTAGAAATGTCTTATTATTAGTTAATTATATGTTATAATTAAATGACATTGCTTTTAATTTTCGTCAAAACATTATTTTTATCAGTCCTTTTATTTATCAGAACAAGAACAGAGAGGTTTATTGTAGCGAACAATTTAACAAATTTTTTATCTTTAGTTTATACTCGTAATAAAATACCTTTTCATTTTCGACGACTCATTGGTCTAGTGGTTAGTACCCCTGACTGCGAATCCATGGGGACCGGGTTCGATCCCCGGCTGAGACGAACATCCATGTGATGAGCATTTGGTGTTGTGCTTAGGTCTTGGGTGTTTAAATATGTATTTATATGTCTATCTATCTATAATATGTATGTATATCCGTTGCCTAGTACCCATAACACAAGCTTCACCAGCTTAGCATGGGACTAGTGTGTGTGAATTGTCCTTAAAAAAAAAAAATGTTCAAAGATGGACTACTTGAGGTGAATATCTTTACATAGTGTAAAACAACGTCTCTTCCCGGCTTCTGTTAGACTTAAGTTATAAAATTTTCATGAATAGTTAGAGAGGTTTAGAGGAAGGTTGGTACAGTTCTATGTTTTTTATTACACCTCATTAATAGGTACATTGCACCTGGGACTGAAATATCTTGAATGCCTGCAATGAAGGTCATTGACAATGCATCTAGTGTTATTAACACGTGATCGGGGGATGAAGTTTCGGTCTCGCATCGATGCGCGCTTTTACCAACGCTCTGCTGGACATGGCTCTCATTCCGTGCTAATTCTCGAGAATTTAGTTCCTAACGACGCTAGTAATGTAAATGGAAAATCTATGACTGTTTCATCATTGAAAATCAATTGCCTAAACACAATCTTTATATTGTGTTCCGGCAAAATGTTACTAAAATATGTAAAACGTTAGGCCACTTTTAACGAATTCGGCAAATTTCATTTTACGCAGTATCTGAAGGAAACTATGTATGCTACCGCTTAAAAGTATTTGGCCACCTGCAATTTGTTTAAGTTACAAGCAATACATTTTAAAGTGATCATTTATTAGGTTTCATTGTTTGTATAACACCGAATAATACTTATCAACAGTACAATCGTAAACAGCTTATTCTTATTTGCCGACTCCTGGTCATAAAACCATAATAGTGTTATTTTCGAAAATTATTTGAAGTCGCAATTTTGTTTTGATTTAGTTATTGAGAAATAAACACAAGTAGCATATAGAATAACTACTTCAAATATTTTTACGTTAGTTATCTGATGTCATTCCAACAGTAAACACGCTCTCCATAGCTCAGTACTTAAAGTCTACCAACATTTCTTCTGTTTTTCACATTTTACTTTAATTTTTTGAAGAAAATGGGTAAAAACTGAGGAATATTCGCTAAGAGATCAGAGGCATAATAATAATGTACTTAGAAACAGAATATTGATAGTTTGATACGAATAAGGAAAAATTGTAGGAAGCACTTCGGAGAACTTATTTATTTATAATAATACTATAACACAATAAGAGTAATTAATAAAGCGCATCTTCATATATCGTATTGTATTAGTTTTACGAGTTGCAGCGATTTTAGTTTACCTTCAATTACCAGTTTTAAGGTTTTTGGGTGTGCGCGGTGATTTAGAAAAAATCTTGTGTGTAGTTCCTATTCTTTAAGTCCAATTTTTTTATAAAAAACTCCTGAGAAAAATAATCTACCAAGAAATTAGGAACTAGGAAAAATCGCGATACGCATCAAAAAATATAAAGTTACTATAAATTCAAACAGTTTTGACAAGATATGTAGTTATAACCAGGCACCTGTCTGTTACGCTTTCACGCCCTAACCACTGAGCAATTCTGATTAATTTTTGTGAAGACATCGCAGCAATCGAATTTTACACAAAAATATACAGAAGAATGCATATCGTCCCCGTAGAGCGAACACTTATTAAGTCCAAAAAACCTGTTTCGAGATAATGAGGGTTAAAGTTTTGAAAAATATAAAATGCCATAACTTTAGCATGTCATGACATATTTTAATGTTTTTCGTTTCATTTTGTAGGAAATCAAATTAAGTTAAAATGACGCTAGCTACCCAAAGTGATGATTAAGTTATTACTGAGAAAACCTAAAAAAATTGTTATTTGTTCCCTGTAGAATATCCGATGTAGTTATGAATTAGTTAATATTCGCCCCTAGTTAGTGATTTTTCACTCAGATCGAGTTTATTTTTATAATAAATAACTTGAGCTGGGTAATTTACGACTAACTGGTAGATATAAAAAATATACATCATGAAAAAAAACTTAAGAGTTAAAAGACATTTTGTTTTAAAATAGTATAAAATTTAACTACTTTTATGAAAAAAAATCTTCTATTCTTCCTATGAATTAAAAATGTTAATATAAAAGTAACTAAATCTTTTATTTTTATAAGCTATGTAAGTTTTTGATAAATAAAAAATAGTTAACATGATTTCGTTATTTCTGTTATTTCCTATTAGGACCAAAAAATTGATTTGTTTAATTTTCACTTTATGTAAATCGGAAACTAGGATACTTACAAAATTGACGGTTAGACAGTTAAATAAAGAAAAAAATATAGTTTTAATGGCATAGATAACTCGTTTTGGCAATTTTTTGACTTAATTAGTTTTCGCTCTACGGGGACGATATATTTGGAATATTACCTGTTGTTTATTATAACACAAAAACATCTCTAAAAACAAATCCTCTTTATATAAATATGACATTTTTAAATAAAAGTTATTTACCTGTAATATATTTACCACAAAATCGCCTCATTGACTTAATAATAGCATTACAAGTGACATGGGACAAACGTCTCTATGTTATTATTCTTTTATTATCTTGTTACTAATCCAAAAAACATACCTTCGCCGAAAATCGAACCCAAGACGAGCTATCGCGTAAACCTAACTATTTGTGGCTACATAATATTATAACAGGAACTAATAACTGGAAACGTTGCCAGTCTCTTCGTCTTTAACCTTGCCTAAAGGGACTCCTTTTAATAATATATTTTAATTATCATATTGTATTTTTTAAGGTTATTAGTTTTAAGTTCAATAATTGCAATAGTTTGATTAAATATTATAAAGAAATATCTTTGTTAGCAATTAATACTTTTCAGTTATTATTACGCCTAATGATTGTGTAGGCGTTGCATTTTTGGTGAACCTATTATTTATTTGAACTTAAAAGTAGTGTTTACATTATAATCTGTGCACAAGTCACGGCCAGTGGTTGCATCTCACGAATTTTATGCAATCTCAACTGACTTAAAATAGTTCGGCATAGTTTTGAATTGAATGGTCAAAAACTGTCTGTAATTCACTTAGGAGGTATAATTCTGTGAATGAGATGAGTTTCTTTGAATACCACTAGGTTGTAAGCGAGGTAGGCGTAGAACTTGTCGTTCCTGCTGCACCTGCTGCTGAACATCATGCCTACTTCGTTTGATAAGACGTTTCACCTGCTGAACTTAAGGAATCGACGCGCAACGGATGTACCTATTCCTTCAGATACGACCTGCATTGATTGTGATTGAACTATTTTTAACACCACGAAGCCACCACTATTCAAGGGCACAAACAGACACGGTACATTTTATTTAGAAAATGTTGATACCGTTCTATTCACAATCATTATGATTATGATTCTATATCATATTTTTTTCATTCGCATCCTGTATGCGTCCTAAACTTGTTGCCTGACCCGGAACCGTTAATATTTTGGAAATAAATATTTTACTCAGAGAATTTTGTACTCTTCCCAGTAGATTTGTATTTAGTTCGTTACAAACGAACGCTATTTATAATGTTAGTATAAAGATAGATAATAATATTTACATTAAGTTTAAACGTTAATTTCATTTAATGATTTCTCCATTAATTACATATGTCAAACCCGGTTTATAAGTTAACAAATAATAATGTATTGCATGTAAGGTAATTGACGAAAGCACATACATCGTACTTTTATTGTTCGTGTGAAGCATATAATTATGAATAATAATAGCTTGAATAATTAATAACCACTAAAACAGAATATATTTATGCCATATATATAGTTCGCATACCTAACAAATATTATGGAAGGTCGAAGGTCATCAGATGCAGACCGAATATATCGAGCCAATTTTAGCAAACTACCGCAAATAATTGGAAATTTCATAGAATAACACAAATTTTATTAAGCAACTTGTTAAATTCTTTAATAATTGTAACCTTTAGAGTCTTAAATCGATATAATAAATGTCCGGTAGTTGTTATCGAGTTATACCTTAGTCATCACTATTTAGCCTGTTGTGTAAAAGGGACTTGATCAGATATTTCGATTTCACTGATTACTTATACATATTATCCAATGTAACTGTTCACTGTGTCAAGTTTCATTGCGACAGAACATGTTGTAAATTCGATGCAGATAATTCAAGGCTCATCCTATGATCGACGCATCCGCTAAAGTAGGTATTAAACTATATTTAACACTAACGCGGAAAATCCCATAGTTATTGACACAATGATTGAGGCAGGTTGCTAAGTGGGAAAACTCTATGGAAGGTACAAAAAACCTATTTGCATTATTTAGATATCGTTATAATACTTTTTATCATCTCTTCGACATTACATGCACTAGCTTGTTGATTTTTGTTAAAAACGAAATCTTAATTGATGTCACAATCGTGAATCTCCAAAAGTTCACGTGCACTCGTGGGTACCTGTTATCTTCAATCCATGAGAATGACCAAAGACAATATCCTCAAAAAATAAATAAAATTTCTATTGTTTACGTTATAGCTTGTGAATATAAAGGCTCGAGAGACCTCAAACTGGTTAGTCAGTGCTGGCGGTGCCGTTACACCAGTCGCGGGCACCTTTTACCTCACCAATACATAGCATGTAAGTCATTTCATTCTGTTTAAACATGCTACAAATATGCCAAGGGCAGCTTTCAATATTTTAACCGAAACACGAAAACCCAGGAAGCGTTATTGACATTGCTTTATATAAATGAATAAAAAATTATGTAATTTATACTAGTTATTATTTGTATCATATAGAAGGTTTTTCCTGGTTATTTTAAATTTTCTAACAATAATAAATAGATATTTATATATATATATGATACTTATAGATGCATTGAATAACATACAGCCCTTTATATAAGAAATAAAATAAATAAGCATAAGTTATTCTGTTGATACAAAACAAACAATCGAGGCAGAGCTTTAAGCTATGACCTTATATATGCATTGACCTCAGACATAATTCATTGCAACTAGGCGATTGATTTTATTTATCACTTCAGCGACTTCCATAGGCACGTACAAGTACCTGACTTGGTCTCTATTTGAATTCATTTAGTGTCGTATTCAAAGCACCTGCCGGCCTTGGACACTGCGACAAAAACTCTCCTACTTCATGATTTGTTAACATTCTCTTTTACATGTCTACTATAGCAGGCTATCTATTTGTAATTATTGTTTTTTACTTCCATTACATTACATTACACAGTAAGAAGAGAGTGGAGATTGTGAATAATTTCATTAATCTTATTGGAAAAAGAATAGTAAATATTCTTCTTCCAAGTCAAGTCAAATTATATTGATTAATTGAGGAAATTCTTTTACGTTCTTGAACGTCAAAAAATTAATGAAATGACTCTAAAATGTACAATTACCAAGGATGTAGAACGGACGAGAAGGCCTCTTCCACTGTTTTTAAACGCCAACTAGGTACTTTATAAAATTACCTATTTATAAAATAGAAGAAGAAGTGCAGCAGTGGCCAGTAACCATAACACCTTGCTGAACATGACTTAATCTTTTTACATTAGCTCACAAACCCAATATAAATAAGTAACATAATCAACATTTGTGCAACATGTATTATTTACCCTTCTCAAGCGATCGACAAATTTCGTTCGATTGTGAAAGATAAATGGTACGATTTTAGGAAAAAGGAGTCTTCATTGCTCACTACACAATAAGAGAATAGACGGTTTACTTCATCTAAAAAAGTTTTTTTAAATTCACTCCGTTACTCGCATCAAAAGAGATTTTTAAATTTTGCCAATAAATATTTATTAAAATTAATATTTTATGGAACTCCATCATAATCATCAGGCTTCATTTGAAAAATAATTATCCTTTCTTTATTTTATGAATTAATATCCATCCCAATAAATGTCCAATCAGCACACGCAATATATACATAATATATATGTATATGACCAATTTAACAGTCGATAGAGGTTTTAAATGTATAAGAAACAATTGACTTGTTTTGTTGCATGGAAACAAAATAATTTCGAGTTATTATTATTGAAAAACCAATGCTTCTTTATTGTTTGATATTAGTATACATTTAGACAATTAGATGAAAGGAATTTTAATTAAATTTAAATATCACATAAAGTATAACATGTCTTGTTACGGAGATGTGAGAATAAAATGTAATGCGCATACAATATGCTTACGAAACAATAAATATAATTGCATGACAAAACATGAAAAACAGCCAAAAATGTCTCACACTCTTTGTTTCAGGTCGAAAATGAGAGCAATTTTATTCTTAGCAATTACTGCGATAGTAGGATGTAAAGCGGCAACTCCGGAACTACGCTTTGCATGGAAGCTGGTGGATTATGTCTGGGACTCGCCAGAACAACGGGCTACTGCAATTCAAGATGGGTCATTTGTCCAGGACAACAACCTTCCCTTAGGCTTAGCCAGATGGAAGAACAAGCTTTTTGTAACAGTACCCAGGTGGAAGAACGGTGTCGCTTCATCTCTAAACTACATAGATGTTGACGGGTCAGAGGACCAGCCACTCAAGCCATACCCGTCTTTAAAAGATAATTTTGTCCCAGACACAGCGAAAGAACTGCCATCGAACAGTTCGATAATTTCGGTGTTTAGAGTATTTGTGGATCCTTGTGACCGACTTTGGGTTATGGACTCTGGCCTGGCAAATATTTTAGGTAAGTAGTCTTGCCTACAGACGTAGAAAGCAATTTCACAATGAAAAGACAATGTCGTGTACAAAGATAAAGATTTATATTTTGTACGCTGTTACATAAGTTAATAATACGACTTCATAATAATATGTGACGTAGGAAGTGGGTGCAAAAAATATAAGCTTTATGTATAAGGTATTGGGGTAAAAGGTATTTAAATCATGCAAAAAGTTTGATCGGCTAAACACAATTAAATAATAAATAAATATAATTTTATCTACGAAAATATTAAGAACTTTTCGATAATTGGCGATAGGTATGGGATCTTAATTTATTACGCAACTTAGATTACGATCAACCGCAATTACGTAGTTACCCACTTTTTACTTAAGTCAAGGTTAGGCGACTGCAGAGGATTTCTTGATCTTTACCAGCAGTATTTGTGAACGGTTTATTTTCTGTTTTGATGAAACTTTGGTTTACTAAATCCTGTATCTCTAGAGACTAAATTGTCCACCTGGTTTCGTTAGGAAATGGCTTGTTATTTGAAAGTGTAGGACAGGTGTTAATAATCACGGGGTAACATTTTTTCATCATGACTTCTTTCTTCTTCTTGAAAAGGTTCACCAAACCAAGTGGCCGGCCCATCGTTGGTGATATTCGATTTGAATACGAACCAGCTTCTCCACCGTTATTTCTTCAAGGTTGGGGACATGAAGGAGGATTCGTTCTTTGCAAATGTGGTACGTACTATCAAGTACTATTTACTTAATGAAATAATACATAAATTTTGTAACTTATTATAAGGATAATTTACAATTAGTACACTAAAGTACTACTTAGTTTCATTCAGAACTATACTAAACCTGTACACAATCCGAGCGGCGAACTCAGCAAGTATATTTATCTGTTTCATATATTATGGTGGTGACCTTCAGGTGGTGGACGTGGACAAAGACACATGTGACAACGCGTTCGCTTATGTCCCAGATTTAGGAGGCTATGGTGTAGTGGTGTATAGCTTGAAGGATAACGACTCGTGGCGAGTGTCCCATCACTATTTCCACTTCGAACCTCTCGCTGGCTCTTATAACGTGAGTGGTATTGAATTCCACTGGACTGATGGAGTTTTCGGATTGGCTCTCTCTGAACCCAGAGAAAATGGGTAAGTTTAAAACAATTTGTGTAATTTTTCAGTTTAATTGTTATCAGTTATTGCTTGCAAAGATTTTAATGTAGTTCGTAGGGCGTTGGTCAAAATATTGTGACTTTTATTTAACAATGAAATATAAAGTATGTACTCGTATATTGATTGTCACTAACTGTTTTATTGGCCTCGAGTATACATTATCGGTATTAATTATGGATACAGTGAATTGTTTAATATCATGACAGCTATGTGATCAGCAACTTCCAGCCGTTGTAAGCAAGGGCGGAGTTATTTTTAATTATTATAACTTAAAAGTTAGGATACACATATTTTCGATTGCAAATAGCCGTAAACAGGTTTACGAAATAACATGACAAAGACCGGATGCTCAGTTGCGGTAAAATAAGTTATTTATTTATCACGCGGATTTCACAGTTAGGTATTTGCAAAATTTACCAACGAAATATCTCGTATATATTTTTTTTTTTTAGATACCGCACGATGTTCTTCCATGCTTTCTCCAGCACCAAAGAATTCTGTGTGTCAACAGAACTGCTCCGTAACTACACTCATATCGACAAATCGGAAGCATTCCACGATTTCAAGGTACGTCATGAGGAATAGGTTATACGTTTAGAGGGAAATAACACTTATATGACTATTAAATTATAGGAGCATTTGGCGTTGTTAATTTTTCATTCCTTTCCATTTCGTACCAAGCTAATAGAAACGATGTAGGAATATTGTATTGTCATTAGCACAATCATTTTCAAGGCTAATTAATGGACGTCGGGCGCCGCTTCCCTATCTCACTACCTTAACAACGCAGAATCACGCACATTGTTCTGCTTCAAGTAATTAATTCAAACTTAATCGCTATCAAGAAATTATTTACCTTTAGTTCATACACCTGACAAGACTTTTCCTTGACTACACTTCACGAAAAGAGGTTTCACTACGTTGTACGGAATTTGATTCAACGTCAAGTATTCTGATCTATTTTCCTCAAGTCGCATTTGTTATTCTGTTCGAATTCTTATTCGAACAGAATAACAATACCCAGAAAATACATTATGAACTTATAAAATACTAGTGGACCCCACAGACGTTGTCCTGCATGATATTTAAAGCGATTAGGATATTAAGCAAAGTATGAAAGTACCGACTGCAGTGCCATCTGCCGGGCTGATTTGTGAATCTAAACCATTCCCAGATCCCCTTGAACACACACAAAAAATTTCATCAAAATCGGTCCAGTCGTTTAGGAGGAGTTCAGTCACATACACACGCACAGAAGAAATATATATATTAAGATAACGACGACTGAAAAGTCGTTAGTTTGGGGATTTTCAATTACTGACAGCACAAAAAACATAATTATAAACTAAAATTCCCATCGAAGGTCTGAGGTCTCAGTGACCTTAAATTACTTAAAAAAAAATTCGTTTGTACACATTATTATGCTTTAAAAATAACTTTAGTGTTCCATTGTTATCTTATTTCTAGTTATTGGGTGACCGTGGTGCCAACACACAAGCCTCAGCCAACTACTATGACCCTAAGACCCACGTACTGTTCTATACGCAGGTGAGTCGATTTATTAAAATATATTATATCTTCCAGCAGTTGCTTTAAGAACTAAGTTTTTCATAATTTAAAAATAAACTTTTCAAGGTTAACCGTGATGGCGTAGGCTGCTGGAATTCAAACAAGCCGTACACGCCAGACACCAACCCGTTAATAATATCAGACCCCGAGCTCTTCGAATTCCCCAACGACCTTAAGGTAAAGTTCACTCACTTATTTATACAATTTAAGTGGGGAAATCCAAGCAACGATTTATTTATTAGCCATTTATATTATATTTAAAAGCCAACTAGTTTCTTTGCCACATTTAGCTGACAAATTAATAGGTTTTTATTTATTTCAAAATACAAATTTTATGGCTAATACAATGTTAATACGTGAGTATTCAATTCTAAAAATGTCTTATGTATTTAAAATTAATTGCTTACTTACACAAAATGACTGACCGACTTTTGCTATACCTATTGTTAAATTTATAATTAATATTACAATAGGCTTATCAGTTTATCGATTAATTTAGATTCCATTTCTTTAAATATGTTTATATTATTTTTTCAGGTCGACTACGAAGATACTCTATGGATATTGAGTGATAAATTACCGCGGTTCATCTTCAAAGGTCTAGACCCGAATGTTGTTAATCATAGGATTTTCAGCATCAAGGTGGCCGATGCTATCGCGGGCACTGCTTGCCAGTAGAATAATCTGTGTACTGTGTACACGCACTTTTGTTACTGCCAATTAAATGTACAAAACTTTCAATTGTTTTTGTGTACTTACGAGTGATGTTTTACTTTAAATAATGTAATAATTGCTTATTAAAAACAATCCAGTTCACCTTATAAACCATTTAATAGTTTTCAAGGAAAGTGTTCAAAAGGCTAACCAAACATGCTAATAACCAATTAGGTCAAAAAATACATTAATTTTTATCCTAGACCTGTTTCCTTAATTCATGCGCTCAAGCAGGTACGTCCTTTCTCGTTTGTTTGATACTCCTCAATCATATAGTATATCATAGTCTTATGTGTTTAAAAGACTAGGTTAAGAATCCATAAATATAATAGAAATAAATTACAGCGACCTATGTAGTAAATAAAATTTTCAGACATCATATTTTGTTTGGTTTATGCGAGCAATCGTCGTCAGCGAAAGACATTACTGACAAACAATTGAAATTGGAAATCGCGTTTATATCCGTTAGAAAAACACAATCTGAGGAAATGATAATCTGCTTTAAACTAAAGGTAATATAATAATTATACAATACATATTTGCATGTTCGTTATTATGTTGTATGATAATCTTACGATTAATACCTATCTCGTTTTAAGGCTATAACGGCTTTAAAGAGCATTAATTGAAACACGTGTATTTTAGGACACATAAATCTAAAAAAATGTGGCATTGTTAAAACGATCTTTGAAAACAGAAAAAATGTACTTTACTATTTATTATTTACATAAAAATTTTCGAAAACAATAAAATGTTGTATTAATTGTTATATACATTGTTTTTTCAAAAATCAAAACAGCAGATACTTACATTATTCGAGTTGAAATGCGTGAAGGTGGCGTCGCACATCCCTTACACAATCACCAATATGTCTCCTCAACTGCCACCACCTAATGCATGCGAGCATCTTCTGATCGAGGTCGTACTCAGTAAAACTAAAATTGTCCTAGGAGTGTTCTACTCTCCTTATCTTTCTGTCAACTATTTTGCAGGTTTTGAAAGTACTCTTGAAAGGTTTGCTACTCTCTATAAAAACATAATAGTTATGGGTGATTTCAATACAGGCTTAATAAAAGACGATTGCCGATCAAAAAAGTTGCTCTCCATCACTTCAGAAGGCGAACCTTTTGTATCACTTCACGCCGGTTTTCAGAAAGAAAGTGGTACTGCCCCGGTCGCGCCTGCCCATTTGACTGAAGCCCGAAGACAACAGCATGGCACTCCTACTAGAAAGGGGTTGACTGATTGCGCTGATGAGATAACCTTTCTCACAGGTTATTTCACCAGTGGGCGATGGGGTCTTCACGTGCCGACGTCTAAAAATATCTAACCTATCTCTCTCTCCTTTAAATCGTACTAACTGATGTGAAACTAATCTAAATTTGTCGTGTTTCATGTGTCCTTTTTTAGTTTATTCTTTTGATCCTCTTTTAGTTTTGTCTAAATAACTAATATGTATTATGTACTTTTGCACTACGTGCTTACCTTATCTAATTTAATTTTTTTTTCTCAAAGTGGTTGCCTGGAAAAGATAGCCTTGAAAGCGTTAAGGCCGCCAGTTGCCCTCCTTTTATTTAATTATGTCAATTGTATTATATTTCTGTATTCAACGAAGTGTTAATAAATATAAATAAATAAATTATTTAATATTGATAATTTTTAAATTTGTATAAAGAAGCAGATTTTAAAAGTATTCTTCCGTTTAATGTGGCTGTGACAACTTATAATTTATATTTATAAATAACCTTTTATGTATGAAGAAATTGCTTAAACCTCTGAGTTTTATAGAAAATTTTAAGTGTCTACTTAAAAATATAGTGTCTAAACTCTTTAACTACATTAAAAAATGCAGAAATAAATAGTCCATCAGCACAATTATTTCCTAATGATGTTTACTTAATTATATCAGCGTAATTGTAAGCAGCATTGATAAGGTTAAAGTTTACATTACTGACGAAGATAACTCGTTACAAGACAGTTTTATAAGAACGAACGCACAGAGTAACGTCAGTCTGCAGTCAGCATTCACTCAACAACCAAGGAACACTGCGAACAAAAAGCATGAACAAAATGGCGCCAAATTATAAGACAGAAAAGGTTACTATATTTGGAAGGTCAGTGTCCTTTATAATACACAATCACATAACATCTTACCAAAAAGGAATAAAGGCTTTGATAAATAAACTCATATTGCATTGCATTTACCTCGGTCTGGCTTAATATTTACAAAATGCTAAATGTGTATTGATTATGAAATGTTGGTACTTGTCGACAGTAAAGCAAAATTCCCAATTTGATATCCATTTAAGTTTCTTTTCTTACTTACATGTACGTATGCCATAAGTATCTAGTGAGTGTATATTGTGATCGCTTCTCAAACTACAAAGTATCTACTTATCTCTTTTTGTATAATGAAAGCATGTATTAATCAGGAAAAATCAATAATATCAACGATATAGTACTTTAACTTTTACGTTTGAAGTGCCCTGCCATAATTACGCAAGCGTTGCAATACACGACGCGAATTCAATTTTCTCGATTACCTTCGATACAAAACACATAAAATGAGATTACACAGATCAAGCATACCTACGTGGAACATCATCACCACACTCTTGCATAGTATGTAAAATATTAGTTATAGAAAGATACAAATATTGATAGATACTTAAACAGATGAATACTAATAATAAAAATATTGAAGGCACGCCGAAAACAAATAACATTTGATTAAGATAGAGGTATATGCTGTCATATGCTCGTTCATTTAAGAAAAATAAAAATAAATCAATGGCGCTACAACCTTTTTAGGTCTCGGCCTCAGATTATTGTATCTGTTTCATTTGGTAATCTAATAGGCAAGTAGGTGATCATCCTTCTGTGCCTGACGCACGCCATTGACTTTTTGGGTCTTAGGCAAGCCGGTTTCCTCACGATGTTTTACTTCACCGTTCGAGCGAATGGTAAATGCGCACATAGAAAGAAAGTCCATTGGTGCACAGCCGAGGATCGAACCTACGACCTCAGGCATGAGAGTCGCAAGCTGAAGCCACTAGGCCAATACTGCTCGTTCATTTATTAATATTTTATATCGTTTGTATTTTTATTACAACTTCACTGAGTTATCTTTAATTTACAGAGTTAACGAAGGTTTACCAAAACAATGGTACTTATCACTGAATATCAAACTTGTTTACTTTATTTATTTTTAAACAAGCTGGCTGATAGTTAATGGACTGATAAGTATTACTGTTAGAGTATGAATTATTGATGTACAAGATAAAAGCATATGTAGTTTACTCAAATGCGTTAACAAAAAATCTTTAGAACCCGAGAGACGGACATAAGAATAACCATTTTATAAAATTATTTTAAACTCATAACTTCATTTGGTTTTTTTTGTCTTTTAGTGGTCTTATCGGAAGGTCTTGGGCTATGCTCTTCGCATCTGTCGGATACCAAGTGACAGTATACGATATCATCCCCAAGCAAGTGACGGATGCCCTCGCAGATATAAAAGTACAGTTAGAGACTTTAGAAAAAGATGGCCTGCTTCGTGGTGAATTGACGGCAGCAGAACAGTTCCAGTGTATTAAAGGTATTCAGAATTTCTTATCTATATCTTACTCTCAAACGGGATCTGGATGGGCACTTGGCATTGTGTATACTGTATAGTAGAGCACTTATGTAACAGGCCGTTATCAGTTGTTTCTATGAATTAGTATTCTTTTTTAACAACCAGGAATGAGTGCTAGCTTGAAATTAAACAAAAACTTCTGGTTTCTTACACTTCCATGTGCGTTATTTTAATGAGGTTAAGCGTAGGAGCCCCGACTACGCACCAAAGGATTTTTCTTGCTATCTGCGCAATCAATACTAGCCAATGCGGTGAAGGAAAATGACGCAAGCCAAACCGGCATTTCTTAGGCCAAAAAATCACATGTATCAGTTAAAGAAGGCACATCATCACACACACATATCACTTAGGTACTTGAATAAAGCAAACTGATCAGAGAAATAGATGCAAATTTTAAAAATGTAATTGTTACTAAATAATAAATAATGATTGTTGCAATATTTTTAAAGGTACAACGGAGTTAGGTGCAGCTGTAAAGGATGCGATTTACGTGCAGGAATGCGTTCCAGAAGATTTAAATTTAAAGATGAAAGTTTACGAACAACTAGATAAAGTTGTGGGCGATAATACAATCCTTGCCAGCTCTACGAGTTGTATACTACCTTCGAAGTTCTCCGAAGGCTTGAAACACAGGTCTCAGGTAAGAATCTAGATATCTCTACTATTATCATTTACGGTGTTTCTTTGGTTGCTCGTTTTCACCACCTAAAAAGCTACACAATGCGGTAAATACGAGCATATAATATAATATTATATAATATTAGCATTTACAAATAGCTTTTTTATAACGCAACATTAATTGTTGATATATGTACTATTTATTGTACGAAGTTAATAGTTCGTACAATAGTACAATTAGTTATGCGAAGAGTTCCTGCTTTCGAATCAATTAAGTTGATGTTTTTCCAGGTGGTGATAGCTCACCCAGTCAATCCCCCATACTACGTCCCGCTTGTAGAGGTTGTTCCAGCACCTTGGACTAAGCCAGAAGTAGCGAAGAAGACAAAGGAAATTCTGTTGGAAATTGGCCAGGAGCCAGTTGTACTGACGAGGGAAATCGATGGATTTGTGCTCAATAGAATACAGTAAATAGTTAACACTTTTGGAAATGGAAATGGAAAATGAAGATTATTAAGTTTCCATATTAGACAAGTATTGACTCTTCTATTTTAAAGGCTTCATTATTTTTTCAGGTATGCTATTCTTAACGAAGTTTGGCGTTTAGTATCCGATGGTGTTGTAAATGTAGAGGATATCGACAAAGTTATTTCTGAAGGTTTAGGCATGCGGTACGCCTTCTTGGGTTCTTTGGAAACTGCTCATCTCAATGCTGAAGGAATGCAGAGTTACATCGAAAGGTATCCTTGTAATCATATATTTATAAACGTATTTCAGAAGTTATTTACTCAATGCCACTCTAGTGTTTATCGGTGTATTATCTTGTGAGTGGACAACACTACTAGACAGATGAAATATCGGATAATTACATTTTTGCACCATTTATCGACAACTTTTTAAAGTTAAATAGAATTCAAAATATCCCGCCCACAAAACCGTATTACACTCAATTCAATGGTGTGGTCCTCAAAACTTGAGTTAATTCAATAAGTATAAAGTTTATTATATCGGATAAACCGCGCACTGTAGCTCAATGTGCCCCGCTATGTTTTGTTTATGTCAACTGCAAATTGAATTGTTACAGATATGGAAAAACAATAAACAGCGTCAGTAAAACATCTGGCGCTATACCTGATATGAACGATTCTAAAAGTGCTGAAAGTATTTGTGAACAATTAAATAAATTAGTGCCAATTGAGAAACTGCCGGAACGTAGAGCGTGGCGTGATGCCTGTCTAACACGTCTCTCTATTCTTAAAAACGAAATGAAAAAGACATACAAAAAGTAAAATATTCAAACTAACTCTGATTATTATGTAATAAATTATATGAATCTGAGTTTTATTTGTTTTTGTGCATACACTAGGTTTTTATAGAATACTAGCGGACCCCACAGACGTTGCCCTGCATGATATTTAAAGCGATTAGGATATTAAGCAAAGTATGAAAGTACCGACTGCAGTGCCATCTGCCGGGTTGATTTGTGAATCTAAACCATTCCAAGATCCCCTTGAACACACACAAAAAATTTCATCAAAATCGGTCCAGTCGTTTGAGAGAAGTTCAGTGACATACACACTCACAGAAGAATTATATATATAAAGATAAATCTCACCATCTCCGTACCCAAATATTCGGTCTACTCACTGAACGTAATGACGAATTCGGAAAGAAGAAACGAAGACTTAACGTAGTATCCTGAAATAACAGATCGCCCACGCAACATTGTGATAACTCTGACATCACCGTAACACCGTGATTGTTATTCATAGACTTACTGAGAAGGAGTCGAACGTGGAGTGGTCTTGGCTTCATATTTTAATATGTACACGTACACAACATAAAATATATTAAGTTAGGATTAGTTTATCTGCCACCAGATTTGAGTCCTGACACACTTAACGATTTTTTTTCGAAAACTAGCGATTTACTTACAAATACTGATGATGATACTATATTTTTTAACAAGATTCTTCTCAGTAATTTTAATGCACATTCATTGTATCAGAAGCAATGGTAGGTCTAGAGGCCAACTTAGTCTTCATTAGCATATTAAATAGGCTTATCTCAGAACTGTTATGCTTTTGCAACTTGAACCAACACGAAATCATAACAATCACATTCTGTTAGGTACCTTTGTACATACAGCCTTCAGAAGACTTGAGCAGCCATCCTTTTGAGATGGTGGGTGATGTTCCCCCCCTGACCCCTTACGCCAACCATGCATACGCGTCATCTGTATGTTATCTTAAACTTCCATAAATGAAACATCGACCAAATAATTTTTGAACTAACTAACATCGATTCATCGTTGTTATACTTCCATTAACAAAATAATACAAAAGAACACTCCGTATAAGCAGCAGCGTGAATCTTCTTCACCCATATGGTTTAACAAACCTCTTTTGAAATGCCTGCGCGAGACAAATATGACAAAAATATAAAAACCCGAGGGCTTTTATATGAGGCTCTTTCACTGAATCAGTGTTATAACAATTATATAAGTAATACCGAAGACAGGCTCAAATTTGGTAGTACCACGCACAAAGCATCCATGTGTGAATGAATCTATTCGAGTTCCCTGATGAGTCCGCGAGTAGTCTGAATAAAACTTCTTCGATAGCTCAAAACTTTCTCATTTAATCCACATACCAACTGACAATATGAAAGTTACAACATACTTCGATAGCGCGTTTTAAGTAACAACTAGCGCCATCTAGATATAATCATGGAAAACCTTATATACTACATATTATATTAAACATTCCGCCCACCAACGTTATTTAATGTTCTTCTCAGTATTTATCGCCCACCATGAGGTCAGGGGGTATGAAAAATAAACAAAAATTTTTAAACTGCTATTGGTAAAACACAAAGTTTGGATGTTGCTCTTTTGAGAAGCACTCCCTTACACTTCAATGTAACGACCCTAACAATGTTATCCAAGCCAGGATGCTTTGTAACTATTCTACCTAACAACCATCGTGACGGTGGAAGATTATCCTCCTTAACAAGAACTACATCTCCTATTTGAGGTTCCGGGGTAAGTTTTGACCATTTGTAGCGTTGTAAACAATGCGTTAAATACTCGTTTGACCAACGACGCCAAAAATTTTGCATCATTCTCTGCGTCAATTGCCACCGCTTAAGTGTGCTGATGTTACTTTGCTCATAACTAGCTTCAGGGATAACTACAAGTGGTTCTCCAACTAGGAAGTGTCCTGGAGTGAGTGGTGAGGGGTCTGTAGTGTCTCCAGGTAAGATCGACAATGGTCTTGAATTGAGGCATGCCTCGATTTGCGACAAAACTGTGGTCATCTCCTCAAAAGTAAGGGTGGAGTCACCCATGATACGCTTTAAATGAAATTTAGTTGACTTCACCCCTGCCTCCCATAGACCTCCGAAATTAGGGGCATGAGGGGGAATGAAGTGCCAAGTGACATTTTGATTACTAAGCCATTCGCGAATGTCAGTGGCTACAGAAGAATTATCAACTATTTGTTTCAATTCTTTAGACGCTCCCACAAAATTAGTTCCGTTGTCGCTCCAAATATCGCTTACGTGACCTCTCCGAGCAACAAATCGCTTAAAGGCTGCTATGAAACTGTCAGCAGTGAGATCGCTAACTACTTCTAAGTGGATGGCCTTAGTGACCATACACACAAAAAGACTGATATAACCTTTATAGCTTTTGTTTCCGCGACCTTTGGTCATTCGTATATTAATTGGGCCAGCAAAATCTACACCACTGTTAAGAAATGCTCGCGCTGGCATAACTCTAGCAGATGGTAATTGGCCCATTAATTGATTTTTTGTTGATGCGTTATATCGAATACATGTCACGCATTTATGTACATGTCTTTTTACCAAGCTTTTAGCACCAATTATCCAGTACTTCGTGCGTAAGAAGTTCAACATTAACAACGGGCCACCATGTAATGTTCGTTTGTGTGCATCATCAACGATTAAGTTGGTAAAATTGCTCTTGTTTGGAAGAATGATAGGTTGTTTGGTGTCATCGGGAAGGTGAGCTTTGTTAATTCTGCCCTGTGCTCTTATAATTCCTCTATCATCTTGATAACAGTTCAGTCGTTTCAGTTGAGTATTTTCCACTTCAAGCTCCCTTCTCTGACACTCTTTTATACAGAGATCAAGAGCTTCATTAAGCTCTACGGAAGTTAAATATGACTCAAACTTATGGAGCTTTTGGTTGACCTCCTTGATTTTTAAGAATCTTCGGCAGAATGCGAGGACACGAATCATCCTCTGAAGGGACGAAAATCTATCCCAAATTGGAACATCTATTGCAGTATCTTTTACAAGGTGAGTTTTAATAGTTCGTTCCTCTAAATCAGTAGATATAGATTTTGGCCGTGCATATTCTATATAGTAATTTTGTAACCACCATGGGCCATGTAGCCATAAACTATTTTCAGCAAGTTCTAGAGGTGCACATCCCCTGGACGCGACATCAGCGGGATTGTGTTGAGTTTGAACATGAGCCCATTGCGTATTGTCTAATTTTGACAATATGTCTGATGTCCTATTGCCTATGAATGTTGTCCAGTTACTTGGATGCTTACTCAACCAAGCCAGGACAACCGTTGAATCAGTCCATCCATGAACATTCTTGCTCTCTACACTCAACACCTTGGCTACTTCAGTTAAAAGCCTTCCAAGTAGAACTGCACCTAGTAACTCCAGCCGAGGTATTGAAACCTGCTTTACTGGCGCCACTTTGGTCTTAGCAGCTACAAGGTGTATTTCAATTTTACCGTCTTCAGTAATGCACCTGAGATAAACCGCTGCAGCATACGCTACAGAAGATGCATCACAGAAACCGTGTAATTCTTTAAAACTGTCAATTTTACTTCCTATCCACCTTGGTATTATAACCCTGCTGACATCGTTGAGCTCAGAACGGTAAGTAAGCCATTGTGCCAACAAATCATCAGGTAATGCCTCGTCCCAATCTATACCAGCTAACCATAGTTTTTGTATCATTAACTTAGCTGAAACAATACAAGGTGACAGCCATCCTAACGGATCATAAAGTCGGGCAATGTCTGAAATTACCTTTCGTTTTGTATAAACATCATGCAGAAGAGAAAGTTGAACTGAGTAATGAAAGGAGTCCGATTCCTTGTCCCAGGTAAGCCCTAATATCTTTACTATTTCGTCTATTTTTAATTCAATCTTCCCGTCCTGATTTCCTCCGTCATCCATCACCCTTGCTGCCAATTCCTTGTTATTAGTAACCCATTTTTGTAGTTCAAACCCTCCTTTCCTAAGTATTTTATTCATTTCCTGTTATATCCTAAGTCCTTCTTCTACTGTTTCACACCCAGTCAATAAATCATCTACATAATAATCTGTTATAATTTTTTCAGCTACATCAGGGCATTCTTTGTGTTCATCAATGGCGAGTTGTTGCAACGTCTTCACAGCTAAGTAAGGAGCACAAGCTGTGCCAAACGTAACTCTTATTAATCTGTAATCTTTTATTTCAGATTCCTCATCTTCTCTCCAGACAAGTCGTTGAAAATCTGCATCAGCGTCAGTAACGACCACTTGCCGATACATTTTTACGATGTCCGCGCTCAGACAAATGGGATGCATTCGCCATCTCATTATAATGTGACGTAGATCTTGCTGGAGCTTGGGACCCACCATCAATGTTTGATTCAGAGATATTCCGTTTGTTCCTTTACAAGATGCGTCAAATACGACTCTGACCTTGGTCGTGGTCTTGTCTTCACGTATGACGCCGTGATGTGGAAGATATACACATTCTAATGGATCTTTATCTTTTACAGTAACATGTTCCATATGACCAAGATCGAGGTATTCTTGCATGACTGCGGAATAACGTGCCTTTAACTCAGGATTTTTCTTGAATCTCTGTTCAAGAAGACGGAGTCTTTTAATTGCAATATCTCGAGATCTTCCATATTTACATTGAGGGTCCGTTTCCTTAAAAGGTAAACGAACAACGTATCGTCCGGTTTCGCTTCGTTGTGTTGTTTTCGCATAAAACTCCTCACATCTAGTCTCCTCCTCGGAGAGAATTTTAGTGTTGTCGGAATCAGAATCAGAATCAAGTTGCCAAAACCGCTTTAATAACTCATTATCATCAATCTGAGTTTGAGTATGCATACTAAGTATCAAGTTATGATGACATTGCGTTTGTGCTGCAATTTCCTCATTAACTAAGTTAGTGGGACCAGATAAAACCCAACCTAAAGCAGTGAATTGAGCCGTCAATCCACCGTTTGGATCCCGAACTAACCCGACCTTGATGACATCACCGTAGACATCAGCACCCAATAAAATGTCTATTTTAGAAGGTGTGCTATAATGAGGATCAGCCAAATTTAAAGAAAATAATTGAGGCCAATCTACTTTCTGAATTTTCGTTGAAGGAAGCAAGCTTGTGATAGTTCGCAGTACATGGGCTTGTGCTTCCATTTCAAAATTGTGATCATGATTTGATTGAACCAATACTTCAACATTATATTTAGAAGCCAAAACACCCTTATCACCACCCAGTCCAGAAATAATGCTCTTATTTAATGTCTTTCTTAGCCCAAGAAGCTGTACTGCCGATTCTGTTATGAAAGACGCCTGCGAGCCTTGGTCGAGTAATGCTCGCAATAGGTAAAATTGACCATTTTTCGCTTGAGCCTTAATCACAGCTGTTGCTAATAGGACCTCTTTAGGAGCAATCTGTTGCATAAAGTGTGTAGAGATATTTGAAATTGAAGGCAAGTTATGGACTGGTGTTTCGTTTATTGATATTTTGGAATCAGAGACCATACCTTCACCCGGATTCAAATTGATTGTTGAATCTATTTTTTGTTTTGGAGGATGAAGCAAAGAATGATGGTTGTTACGGCAAACCCTACACTTTGACGAACGACACGCGATAGCTAAGTGACTGCTTCCCAAACAATTGAAACAAAGATTACTAGATTTGATAAAATTATGACAGCCTTCATAATCCATTTTACAAAATTCCTTACAATTAACAATTTTGTGATTTGATCTATTACAATATGCACATACGTTTGAACTAGAATTTGACACCACATGATGTACTTTGTTTTGATAATTTGTAATCCTTTTAGTATTTTTAATATCCAAAAATTCAAGAGATCTAAAACGAGATTCTAAAAATTGTTTGAATTCTAATATTGTTGGTAGATCATTTGATGTACAAATTCTTTGTTCCCACAACTTTCGGGATTCCGTATCAATTTTCTTCGTTAGAATATAAATAACAATAGTGTCCCAATGTTCAACATGTAATCCTAAATTTTTTAAACCCTGTAAGGTATCATTCGTAGTATCAAACAGCGTCTTTATTGCTTTACACGATTCATGTACAATAGCTGATTGATTTAATAACCGATCTAATAAACAATTCACCAAATATTTCTTATTGTTAAATCTATCATTTAATAAAGTCCAGGACTGATCATAATTCGCTGCATATAAAGTAACATGTCGCAATATCTGTTCGGCTTCTCCAGTAAGAAGCCCCTTTAAATAATGAAATTTTTCTATTTTGTCTAAAGATGTGTTGTTATGGATTAAGGATTCGAAAAGGTCTTTAAAGGTTTGCCAATCTGAATAATTTCCCGAAAATACAGGAATACTAATTTTTGGTAATCTTAAATTTGATTCACCTTTACAAGACTGGTTATTCATACAAGGATTATCCATAACATTGTCAGAGTTGGGCAACACATCCAATAAACTTAGTTTATAATTTAAGTATGTGTCCTCCAACTCTTCATATAAATTTAAATATTCTTCTTCAATTGTGCTATCAAAATTTTCTAAAATCCTGTTATGATTATTAGTTACTATTTTCCAATCACTTTCTAACAATTCTAATTTCGTTTTAATATAGGAAACTTTGGCCAGTCTATCTTTTGGAGATTTTCGGAAATTCTGATAAGCACGTTTTAATGTTTCTTTATAACCAATTTGACTTTTAATAAGAGATGCCATAGTTTACTACAATAATTAAATAACTAACACCAATCAAATTTATATAATAATACCTGATACGTCCCCTAGTCTTAGGGAAACGTTACCGACTTATGTTCCGACGCTCCTCGTTGCTGATTGGTTACTCTAACTCTTCACGATGGCAGAAGATTGGATACAACGCACAGTTGGAGGGGAATTTTCCGATATTTCGAAGTGGGGGGAATCACTTATATCCTTGGACACTATTGGATAGTCACTAACGTTCTCTTGGTACACTTGCTGTGTGGGGAAAATCACTTATGACTTTTGGTACACTGGTTATAGGGGCCACTAATTCATTTTACTGATTGGCGGTGTTTGATGACATCTCTCCTCTGAAGCTACGCCTCCTTGGCGAGCTATTAGTTGACGACGGCTGCTGCTGCTGTTGAAAGTGAACGTGAAAAGTTATATGAAATTGTTGTGGAAGTAAAATTGAGGTGCGTACCGTTTCACAATTAGACGATTTCACTTCGATAGATTATAATCTACCGAATAATAATACGTTAAATTGTAAGCAGTACGTTGAGTTCACAATCTTTCGACAGTTTATAATCTCGCGAGATAGATTACAATCTAACGGTTTTTATAATTTTACGTTAACAATTACATAAGATACACGTGACTAGTTTTAAGAAAGGGATTATACTTTTTATGGATTCGTTTCAACTTCAACACTATCACATTGTATAACCTATGCACATGTTCTTATAATAATGATTCTATGGTCATAAATAATGGAAAAATTCTACGAAAGACAAATGAATATAATATATAAATAAAGGAAAAATTCTACGAAAGACTAGGCGGTATGGTCGAAAGACTATAGCCTGCGCCATGGGCGGAAAAAATAATAATTGTAAGTTGTCATTGCTGAGTGTCACTTTTGAGGTTTTGTTTCAATTCTCATTTCTCAAAGCTGTTCATTTTACGAACCATTCATACCTTTTATTTAGTATTTACACATTCATAATATTATTCTTTCATACAACATAATCGTAGCTTTTTAAAGTTATGTAAATTTATATGCATTAAATGAACGAGATTTATAGATTTTGAAAAATGTGTAATTTTACATCTATAAAGTTCTAGTTTGAACATCAAATAATTTACAAATGCTCTGTTATAATAGATAATGGATCCAAGAATGTGCAGAAAAATCAGTAGCAGTGAAAGTCTTCCAGATGTTGACAATGAGGAATTTGAAGTATCGAATATCATCGCACCGCAAGAAAGCGAGGATAATTTTCTTTTGGAGGGCAGCCCAGAACCACAAACCGTGACCTGGCTTGACGACGATCAAATTGATGATCTTAATTTAGACCAAACTAACCTATTTTTTCACAGAGTTGATAGTGCTGATATAATTTATAGAAGCAAGAAAAAAAAGTGTAAATTGGTAGGCAAATATGTAATGGGTGATATATTAGGGGAAGGTTCCTATGGAAAAGTTAAAGAAATGTTAGATTCGGAGACTTTGTGTAGGCGTGCTGTTAAGATATTAAAAAAACGAAAGTTGCGGAGGATCCCCAATGGTGAACAAAATGTTCAAAGAGAGATTCAATTGTTGCAAATACTTAGGCATAAAAATGTGATAGAACTAGTTGATGTAATGTACAATGATGAAAAGCAGAAGATGTATCTAGTTATGGAGTTTTGTGTTGGTGTTCTTCAAGTAAGTAGATATTTACAGAAGATGGTAAAATCCCTTATATTATGATGCTAATGATAGTCATTTGATATTTTGTTTTAGGATATGTTAGAATCAAGTCCTGGAAAAAAGTTTCCTCAGCATCAAGCACATGAATATTTTACTCAGCTCCTTGATGGCTTAGAATATTTACATGGTCAAGGTGTGGTGCATAAGGACATTAAGCCAGGAAATCTGCTTTTGACACTGGACCAAACATTAAAGATAACTGATTTTGGAGTCGCTGAGGTAAATATAAAAATATTTTGTTATTACTGAGTGATTAACAAATGGTTCATTCTAGGCATTATTCTACCCAATTAGGTGATTTTGGAAAATTTGTTGTTTAAGTTTCTTTTCGAGTCAAGTACTTATTGATTTTTAATATCATATCTGCAAGTTCTTAATTGGTATTAAACCTACTTAATCCAATGAATTAACATGTTAGTAAAGACTGGACATTATTGTTAATTTAGCTATTATGAAGTCAGACTGAGATTTTCCGTATGACTGTGTAAGCTTTAACATCTGTGTTTACAATATAAATGAGTTTATGGATAAATGACATCTTATTTACTTTACATAAGATTTAATAACTTCATTCTCATCTCAATAAAGTATAATGATTCATAAATTTTCCAACAGATGCATTATCATGATACTTTTGCAATTGTGACTCACAACATAGTCTTATTATCCATTTATGCTCTGCAAACATAGCTCTTTTGTAATTTTTGAGATGTCCGCACAAATGTTTTTACAGCCAAGTCACTGGAATTCAATCTTCTACATTTTGCTCCAGTAGTTGCTAGAGGAGTCTACATGTATCAGTTATGTATGTTATTATTGTAGACTATTCATTTGTTGACTGATCATTGATAATTTTTCCCGAAGTTACTTATTTAAATTCACTTCTTATTCACGGTTGTTTATCCTAATTACAAATCTTAGGCAAACATGAAAATGTTTGGACGTCTTCATTAAAAAATTCTAGTCTGCTGAGACTCTACGTCATAACACTTACACCATTGGTATGGCTATGAAAATGGTTTTAGTGATTAAGTATTATCATTAGGAGGTCAATGCTCTTATTGTTACAACAATGTGCAATTAAATTGAAAAAAAAATCATTAGGCATGTGTTTACCTCTCGTTTTTGCTAAGTTTAAGTATACAATACATTATTGTGTTGTTAATGAAGAATCTGATTGCATTGACGTATTTGGGTCAAGCTCACAAAACTTATCTTTGTGAATAAACACAACAATTCACTGATTTTAATAGTGTTTATAAATATGTGTGCTGTAACCTTCATGGTTTGCAGTTTATTTTATGCATAATATAACACTGTGTTCTTTAATTTAATGTCAAAGGAGGTTTATATCTAAACTAGTACTATCCTATGATTGTGTCTCAGTTATTTCTTTACGGTAATTTAAACTGTTACACTTCAAGCATTCTGAGTTTACTTTTAATGACGATTCACATATTATGACCATTATAATATCTGGTTCAGACCGGCTTTATCTTGACACAGTTATAACATTATGTTAAAAATATAATTGTAACATTTTACATAATTTCGGACCCAGAGCCCATCAAAATTATAATATAATAGCTTTTACTAAGGTCTATATTATTTCATACATTATTTTCAGGCTTTGGATATGTTCTCACCACAAGACACATGCTATACAGGACAAGGTTCTCCAGCCTTTCAACCTCCAGAAATTGCAAATGGTGCCGAGACCTTTTCAGGCACCAAAGTAGATATATGGAGTAGTGGTGTCACATTGTGAGTAGACTTTACAACATTTGCATGCATAATACAGTAATTATTACAGAAAGGTGGAGTTGGGAAGCAACTGTATGACATTTATTTTGTGCATCGAAGTCAATATATTCTAAAAATAGGTATTTAAATTTGTAAAAACACTGTAAATTGCTTATGAACACATGTCCTTCACATGCTCATAATAAATCTTTTACAATATTCTATTGTGTGTATATTTGTATGTGTCAGATATTTAAAATTTAAATGTAATATCCGTATGACAACTGTGACCTATATTTTATTTTAGGCAGGAGCGGGAGATGTGTGTGTGCAAATATTATAGCTAAAGTAAAACACAGGTTTTAAGGAATTGTCTTAATTACATGGACTTAGGCAATTGAGATTGCATTACTTTATCCTGGCACATACAGGAAATACGCACAATGCTCTACCAATAATTTTCCTTTTACAGGATACTTAATATCAATCATAAATTTTTATCAATTATAATTTTATATATAATTATTTGTGTTTTTAAACTGTTTTTCAATATCTTCCAATAAACAGTATTCCTTTCAAGTGACGTATTCGACCGAATTCAATCACTAATTATATTTATAAATATAATTAGCGGTTGAATAGTGATTGAAAAAACTAGAGAAATAGTTAACCGGCGGTTAATTGATGTTTCACTAATTCAGATACAACATGACAACAGGACGGTACCCGTTCGAGGGCGACAACGTGTATCGGTTGCTGGAGGCCATCGGGAGGGCCGAGCCGGTGCCTCCGCCCGCGTGCGTCGGGAGCTCCCTCTCCGCCCTCTTGGTGCACATGCTCAAGAGGGACCCGGACCTGAGGCCCACCGTGCAGCAGATCAGGCGGCACGAGTGAGTATCACGACGTCTATCGCTATAAAATAACAACTGTACAGTCGAGTTAATGGCGAATTGTGCGGGCGCTTTCAGCTGGGTGCGGTCGATCCCTCCCCTCGGGCCGGGCGAGAGGATCGTGCAGCCTCGGTCCCGCAAGTCGGACGAGCTGCACAGCTCCACCGTCATCCCGTACCTCGTCGAGAGGCATTACGTGTCCGCGCAGGAGTACTTCACCGAGAGAGATCTGAAACACGGTGAGTCTTCCGACGATTCCGACATTGTCGGACGGCCTCTCGCGAGACGTTCCTTATAAATAGACACATGTCGTCCCTCGCATTTGTATATATATGTCGATTCTAATGTTTGATTTTGTCCATACATGTCACCGGGCAGATGCAGATTCGGACTTTCCAATAGTGGGTCCGGGGCGCGCTAGAGTTTGCTCGTTGAGTTAGGTTCGTAGCATTGGAGTGGCAGTTTTGAGCACTTTTGCGCTATTTCCTACCCGATCGTCCGAAACACGCAGCTAGTCGGCGACGAGATTATCCCATCTAACCTAACCTAACCTAACGTAGCGCTTTATTGATCCTCAAGATTTGTTTACTTTGACTTATAAAGTCGTGTTAGTCTTTTTAATTCGAGGGCTAATCGCATCTCGTAATAGCGACTCACCGTTGGCAACCCTCTTCTTATTTTTGCTGCAGCCCTTTACTAACAATAACACGATCTAGTCGCCGAAGCGTGTTCGCTTGCCGTGGCTCGCTCGGCTTTAGCAGTTATTATTTTATCATATCTTCGCTTAAACTAACGCCTGCGATGCGTCGGCAGAGTTGGGCGGCGGCGGTTCCGGGAGCCTCTCGACGGCGGAGCTGTCGGAGGGCGAGTCCGCGCAGGGCAAAGGGGCGCTGGCACTCGTCGTGCGGCCGCCTGCCCTCGTGTCGCCTCACGTGATGGTACTCCGATGCGCGTCGGGTTCGCTTGTGTTTTCTTAGCGATCACTAAATTTTTGTTTGACGACACTTATCCGGCCAGTGTTTGAACGTTTTTGGGGATAGTTTTTCTCGAACGTCCGGTGCCGAGCGTCGAGTACCTTCAGGAACCTGAAGATTTCATTTAAAAATAAAATATCCTGTCTAATGTATGTGTATTGTAAAAAGGTTGGAATCGTATCGCCACTGAAATTGATTAACTTGTGCATTCACTTTTCGCGGCCGAAGGAAGAACGAGTCCGTTTAAATTTGTTGCCAGATCGTTGAAGAGAAGTCCCACCGATAATTCATATTTTTGTAAATAGTTCAATTTAGAAAAACAAAAATCAGTTCGGGCAGAATCTCAACGTTAAAAAAGTTCGCCTCGTGTGGTGCCGTGGATCCGTGGATATTGTAGGATGATGTTTTGCTAAAATCTCTGTACATGATCTACTTATCGCTACTTATAATAAATTAGACGATAATAAAGTAATGCATAGTTTAATCGATCGAACATTGTTATTGTGATCGGACGATTTCAATAACTGTTCTATTTCTGATTAAATGTTTTGTTAATTAAAATATTGTTATTGAAATTGGCCGAATAGTAGTGAAATGCGACTTCCACAAAATTGCCGCTTTGCATTAATTGTAAATCTTTAGATTCCACACTTTCTGTTTAAATTACGTTTTTTGAACTCAATCTAAAAATATGTTCACGGTTTAAATAATTGTTGTGAAACTTTCTATGAAAAGTTTTTTGTATATTTCTAAAATTGTAAAGTACAAGTTTGCAAAGACTCCGCTTAACGCAGTCTCATCAAAAATATCTTAATTCAGAAAAGTTAATAATGTTAAGATATTTACATATTGATATCGAAATTTCTACTTCTAAGATTGAGGACACTAAATTTCAAACAATAAGTATATTATATTTGAGAACATCGAACTAATAAATCGTGTGTTTACGAAAATAGATTCAATACTTTTGTTTTAGAGACTCCCATTTCATATCACTTTGCATGTACTCGGACCTCACTTTTATATATATTTTTATATCGCCTTTGTATGATTTTGCCCGGTCGGCAATCGTTTCAAGAGAAATTAAAAGAATTTATTGTGAACGTTGGTATTGTCGAATGTGGCGTTTCGCTCGTACGAACAGAGCACTGATTGTTTGAATATATTGATTGTGCAATAAATTGATATTTTACGTTATGGTTTTACTACATAATACAAATATCGCAGTCCTGTTCACCTCTTATTGAATGAAAAAGTGAAGGCGTTTGGTTTATGAAGCCACCTTTTTTTGAGTTCTTTTTTAACTCCGTTAACGAATAAACTATTAGATTTTTTCTTAAAATATACAGTTAATAGTGAGACGAGGAAGAATTCGCCGTTTTTAAAACGTGCGTCATTCGGCAATTGCTTTTGAGATTATTGCGCAGATCTCCTTTCGCCAAAGGCGTAGTGAAACTCGTAGTTCTTAGATAGTTGTAGTGAACGATGAAAAGTGAGGTCCCGCGTCCCCTACTTTATTCTGTAATGCTTCTAACTGATGTGTGCCTGAACTGATGTTGAGCAATATTTAACAGATTAAAAGAGAATATTAATATATTGTAAATAAAATATCTAAATAACAGTTTAGTCTTTAATTTCCACCTTAAAAATAAAAAAACCTTATATGAAAGCTATGATTTACCCGCAGTACCCCAGTGGTGAAATATCCGATTCTGAACTTCCTCAGAGTTCGAACCCCGGTTTGTACAAAATTAGTTATTCTGAGAGCGTAATTTACACTTGCTCGTTGAAAGAAAACGTCGTGAGGAAACGGGTATGTCTCAGATGCAGAGCTACGATGTGTGCCGGGCACAGAAGGCCAAGAAAGAACGCGTTTACTATAAGTGACACACAAAATGTGCCTGCCCTATGCGTTCTGCCCATGCCATGGGAAAATGGGCTTACACTAAATGACTTCATCCGTATCACCTCATCGTTCACAACAACGCCTCTAGGCAGTTTTTGTCGTGCACCACATAGTGATGTGGAACCAACTACCGACTGCAGTATTCCTGAACCAATTAGACTCCTTCAAGAAAAGAACCTACCAATTCTTAAAAGTCCGGCAACGCACTTGCGAGCCTTGACGAATGAGGGTCCATGGGCGGCGGTTTCACTTAACATCATCCTGTTACATTAAACAAAATCCTCGTTTTCTTTAGTTTATGTAATGCGACGCTCAGTATTTTAACTGAGCGTTAAGACACTAAACTCTCTGGGTTCACTAGACATAATTGGCGTGATGCAAGTGTCCCGCGGATCGCGACCCGGTTCACATTGCCACAATGCACGGAAGTGTCATTGCTTTGCCGTAGCCTCTTCCTCCACGTCGGATTACGGCGCTCTTATTAATAGTCCATTATACACAATTAGGTATTTTGAACTACCTAAACAACACTTGCATAATTCGGCAAACGAATATGAGTTGGGTGATGTTGAATTTTACATTTAAGATATTTTTGACCTATAATTTAGTTCTATAGTTCTAAATTGCGAAGGAGGAATTTTCATTCCGAAATATTTGCTAAATTGTGTTATTAAAATATCTACAATAAAGCCGTCGTCTAAAATAGAATCATTGCAGATCCGAAGGATGCTGGCACTTGATTTATATAACTATAAAATTATAGTTATACGAGTACCTAACTCTCATCTAAGAAAAATTAAGAGATGAAGGTTATATTTATACGAGTAGAATATCAGAAGATATTCCTCACACTATGTTCTATGTATGTGGCATATTACCGGCTTCGGCATTAACTATGTTTGATGTCATTTTTTTATATTTTTAGGTATGTATTGTTATTGCCCTACAGATGTACCTACCCTAACTCATAAATATTGAATATACAAAAAAGTACGGGATGTCTGCACCAAGAGAATTTATATAGACGGAGCCCTTCGGGTAGGATCAAAGGTTCAAGGTGGTGGGATTATCTCAAAGATATCAGGCAGACTCACCACGAAAATTAAGGGCTTAAAGTAGTCTTCGCCACTTTGAGAGGAAGCGAGAAATTAATAAGATAGAGCAATATTCAAATCTGATTTATTGTTATTAAACAATATCTTAAATACTGCTTAAATACCTATTCACACATATGTACTATAATATTATAAAGAGGAAAGATTTGATTTTTTGTTTGTTTGAAATGAATAGGCTCCGAAACTACTGGACCGATTTCAAAAATTCTTGTACCGTTGGACGTAGGGACCCAAGGTGTAAAAAAAAATAAACAAAAACTTCCTTCAATCGCGTGCGCTGCGAAAACTATTAATGATAGAACAAAATGATGTATCACAATTTTTCAGGACACATCACTATCTATAAAAAATCTCGCGACAGCATGTCTCTATCTTTTATAGTTATGTCACAATAAGCGTCCTTTTATTATTATTTTTTTATTAAAATACCACCGCTAGAAAAGGCTCTTTATTCGTACCTAGCTATTGATCCTTATCAAAATAAATACCAACGTTTCACATAAGCTACAATTTAATGGAATAACCACCAAAAAAGCATGGTAGATTGGTGTTCTCATGCCGTTTCTCTTGAATAGTTTACTACTATGTAATATAACAAAAATCTTAGCCACAGCAACGCTTGGCCGAGTCTACTAGTACATAATATTATTCTTATGAGTTGTTGGCGTGTCGCGCACCTTCAGCTGTTAAAATATAGAACAACCACGTGAGCCGTGTCAGCAGTTGGTCAATGTTCAAATGAAATCTGAACAACCATGTATCGATTTGGATCCTAATCGACCAATAAGTGAAGGGTTGCTGGTGACCTCAAAGGTAGCATCAATTCACTGTCAGTTCTAAAGATCAAGGCTCAAGATTATTGTCTTATACCATTGGTGAGAATCATCACTAAATGATAATAAGTACCTAAATGGAGCGTTTGAAGTTGTTACTAAATATAAGGACTTACAACTAAAAACTTTTCACGCTTACAAAGTTTTCATCGTCATTCTTAAAAAGTAACGTAATTGGGTAACAATTTCAGATCATATAAAACAACTATTAACATTTTATTTGAGACTTTAATGATAATTATTGTCAATATGATTACGTAATTATTATTATTTACTTATATTGCTGAGCTGAACGTTCGAGGGCACCAAGAATGTAGGTCGTGAAAGGATGTGCCGTGGATGAGTGTTTAGTCCTTGAAGTCGCAGTAAACAAATTACATTATACGTTGAGTAGATACTTAAAATAGCTACGTATATAAAATAATTTGCTTTAGTTATAATTGCTTGATATAAAATCTGATATTAATGCGTAGGCGATTGTTTTTATTACGTTAAATATGGTGGCAAATATATTATTAACTATGTTCCAAAGCGACCATAATTTTATTTAAAATTGGGATGAACAATAAAACACCTTTATAATTACGTATACTTTTGCAAGTCACATAATACCTATACTTAGACACGTATAACACCATAATACAGCTAGAATTAATTCGTTACATTGACCGCAATAACTGCATATACCAGGAATCTCAGCTATTTTAACAAATTACGAAGAGACGGATTCACTTTATTAATATTTGAAAAACTATAAACCTTAATGAGGTAACAGAAGAATTCTTATTACTCCTATTAGTCACAGATGACATTTAATACATACTAGTCTGCGCCCGCTGTTTTACACGATTAATGTTTTCAATGATGACTGGACGAAGTAAAAGTAGACCTATAACGGCTTAAATATAAATGAAATTAGTAACTGATTAAATTATAAAAACAAGTGTTATTTTGATTGTTGACAAAATTGCTGAAATGACCTTTATTATTATTAATAATAAGTTTTTTATTTAGTAACGCTTTAAGTAAATATTACGTCGATTAGTTTTACAATGCATTTTAGGTTATTTTGGTTATTAAAAGGCTTAGAGGTAAGCAACTCTAGGCA